CTGCTGTGTTATAATCGAAGAAGCAAACTGAGAAACTGATTGAAGCCTGCTGAGACAGCACGATTGCTCTCTAATAGCAATATTGAGATTTCAGAGAATAGGTTTTTTTTTTTTTTTTGTCCAAAACATTGTAGGTGTTCTATCATCTGCAATCATCAGAAACTTCTTCCTCTTTGTGCCGTAAAGCATTTTTCCTACTGATCTGATCAGGGAACTGTTGAGGGTCCAATACGACATGCAAGGCGTAGTGATGGGCACGGCACTTCTTCTGAGTGTACTGAATCGCAAGACATTGTGCATAACAAAAAATTCATTTGGAACATTTGTTCAGTGCTTGACCGAATTGAAGCAAAGCTCACCAATCAATTCAGCTCGCTAATAGGTCTATTATAGAGGCTGCCTTATTTGTGTTTACAGTAATTAAATAGTGTCAATTCATTGATTTGTGATTTGTCATCAGTTCCAGCTACTTGAATGTGGCTTTTTTTATGTTTTTGTTTTGGACTGTGGATTGGACGTTTCTTTAATTTCACATGCTAATCTGTTAATTGAAAAATATAAATATAATATAATAAACATATTAATGGACAATGCAAATACTCACTAGTTCTGAACTAATGCATCTAAATCCACAAAATGCTACATCTCAAACCTTTCAGGATCTAGACTGGGGTCCTGGATGCGTGAGGATTTATGTGTGGTTTATTGTGCCAGCCAGACAATGATGCAGATTCAGAAGCACCGCTGTGGGTTAAACTGAACCAGCAGCCGTTTTTTGCTTTTAATATTTGATACATATTCAGCTATTTTTGCCAGCAGTGATGCAAACAGGAGCAGACAGTCCCCCCCAAAAGTCAAGCCCTACATTATTCAATTTAATAATCCTGCATGTTTTCTGAACAGTTAGCTCGCTCAGCAGTGCAGAACCTTTCCACAGAGGGTGAAATCAGCTTTGTGTGTGTGTGTGTGTGTGTGTGTGTGTGTGTGTGTGTGTGTGTGTGTGTGTGTGTGTGTGTGTGTGTGTGTTTGTGTTTGTTTGTGCAGTCCAAAGGAGCTTAATTGGTGTAAGCGTAGGCAGCAAGAGAGAGACAGACAGTGCACACACATCTGTGTCTTTGTGCACTTCTTGTATATCTGCTTGGAACACACATCTGTGTAGTGTATCTGACAGAAAACACTTTCACTCTCCTCCCTCCGTGTCCTTTCGGTTCTGTCTTCCTCTGTCCTCCCCCTCTTATCCCCTCCACCCATTCTTCTCTTCAGTCTGTTCTTTATCGCCTCCTCTGCTCCTCTTTGCACTCCTACCTTTGTGTCCTCTGCTGCTGCATCTCCTTTCTCCTCTTTGTCATCTTCGCTCCTCTCCCGTCTCACCTCTCCTCCCTTGAGAGTGAGGGGTGAGCTGAAGTGATCGGGCTGTAGTGGGTAAAAAGAGCAGCAGCCGCATCAGGTGTAAATGGTTTCTGCCGTGACCACTTTAACAGCTGACTGCTCTTTGAGCTGCTGCCGAGCACAAAGTTTCTTCACTAAGTTTCCAGACATCTTTACTCCTTTTTTTCCCCCCTCATCCTTTGCAGTGTTACAGATTTAGTTCATAGATCAAACTGAATGAAATCTACATTTTAAAGCAAATCATGTCAAATTGGGTTATTTCGATCTTGAACACTTGAAGCATAAATGAGCATAAATCCCACATGGTTGAACATTAGCAAATATCTTTCAATTCTTCCTATAGAAGTTAAAATTTGTATTTTATTGTGTTTGATAGGCCTATTATCTATTCTGTTAATATATATAGAGAGAGGGAGAAAGGGGAAAAGCAAGGAGAAAACAATAGTATAATACTGCTTATAATTTTTTCTCAAAACTGCAGACTCTCTGCTTTAAAAGTCTCCCGTTTGAATTTGACAGCAGTAGGTACACTGGCAGCATCAGCAGACTTTATTCTGGGACTACTAAGAAAAAGCAAGTGGAACTCAGAGATATGAAATGTAATTTCCATATTTAATCATCCAAATTTTACTCTTTGACTCAATGTGAGTGGGTGTGCGTGTGTGTGTGTGTTTTATGGATTTAAATGAAGACAGGAAAGTCTAGCTTCGGGGGATTTTTGTTATTCCTTTCTCCAACCTGTCAGCTACTTGTTGCCATGGTAGCGTTATGTCAGAAGACTAACTCGGTGTGTGTGTGTGTGTGTGTGTGTGTGTGTGATGATGCTGACTGATGCGGCTGCTGAGGCCAGATGTGGTCATTGACACACCGACAACCCCCTGTCATTTCCCCAGCACACAGATGCATGAGTACACTGCTCGCACTTTCATGCAAAATATAGGTCACGATGGAAATGTGCAATAATATGCACTGTGATCAACGGCTTCGCTAAAAATACGAAACTGGCAGAAAACAACACCTAATTTAGAACGATCAAACATGACAATAATTCAGTTTTGACCTCTAATTATAACATTTACCAGTATTACAGATCTCAGTGGCAGATGTGTAAACCTTGCTAAAGAAACTGAAACTAGAGATCTCGTTTATTTAATTCGTACACAAACTGAAATGTAAAAACCAAGTCAAAAGTCATTGCGCCAGGCCGTCAGAAAGTTACAGCAGCGTGAATGCAGGTCCCCGTCCCACCACAACCTTTTTTTGTGTGTTTTTACATTTGAATGAGCCATGCTAGCTGTGTCTGGTTCCAGACCAATGAATCTACGCCTAAATCCTCGATGTGCAGGCAACACGAGAAAGGCATCAATCCGTCTAACTCTCTGCAAGAAAGTGTGTGTGGGAAACATGTTATGGTCTCTGATGCGGCTTATAAGTCGACATGATTGACAGCCAGAAGGGGTGCTCTCTTTGGCTGACTCGAACACACTGTTATTGGCAGGAGCCTGCAGTAAACATGACAAGTCCACTGTGTACATGTCACTGTTAAAATGTGACATGTCTTCACAGAAAACACAGGTAGCTCCTTTTTCATTTAGTCTCTGTTGTCTGTGATCTGTTGTTTGTGTGCAGGATATGATACTAGACTACTGTTTGTTGGGTTGCTAAGAAAAATAATCTCCACAACGATCCTACTGGAGTCTTTATATGTGCACATTTTGGACTATTGTGTCTTGTTCATTCTCACATCACACAAACAGCCAAACACACATCACTCCAGCTGTGTCCAGAAGCCACAGTATTACAGGAGGAAATTAAACAATTGTTACTTGTGGACATGTGACTAGTAAACAACTCCTGTAAATAAAATGCTGCTGGCTGTTGCTGAACCAGTGGGTTTAGTAGACATTTTCACCAAAATCTTCAGTCTGTTTCCACAAGTTCAACTGTATGACAAATCAGGCAGCAGTACAGCCAAGATTTTAATGTAGTTGAACTTGGGATAAACAAGATCTCTTTCTCTCTCTCACTCACACACACACACACACACACACACACACACACACACACACACACACACACACACACACACACACACACTCCCACCCAACAAGGAATGTAAAGCCAATACCTGTTAAGTCATGTGTGACCAGTTACAGTTAAACCATCTGCTCTGACCTCATTAGACCCATTGTCTTCACTGTGTACTGTAAAACACACTCACACACACCAGTGACAAAGCACTGCATAAGAAGCATCTAATGACGCTTTCCCATCATCCAGTAAGTCTTTGGTCCACATACAGTGTGACTCATAGAAAATAGATTTTTTTTATGATAATATACTTTTTTTTCTTTTTTCCACCTGTAATCCAACAAAATTCTTAATGATACTGATGTGTGCTATATCCTAATCTTTATGACAGTATATGTTTTTGATCTCTTTATGTTGTTGTCATACATTACATTATTTGTCAGTTTTTCAGTGTTCTCTACTTTGTTTTTATCTCAGAAATATTAGTCAGCATAATAAATGCAGTTGAGACGCTGAGACTTCCCTGGCTGTGCCTGGAGGACATGACTGAATGTTAAGAGCGGATGAATGCATGCACCGTAAATTAACACATTCACTCATGCAAAGACAACGAGCTGCTCGTGCTTGCACACATATATATATGTATATATAAGTATATACAGCAGTACACAGGTACTGTGGACACGTGAGTGAATATTTTACACACACACACACACACACACACACACACACACACACACACTGCATGTCAGTAAACGTGAAGGCCCCCCCCCCTCAAAAAGGAATATTTAATAGCTCACAAAAAAAAATACAAAATTAAAAAAAATCTTATGAGCACTGAAACAGAAGGATGTTCCTTTTGCTTTTCCACCTATGCTGTTCTGATTGGGGATTTTGTGTTGCATGTTTGGCTGCAAATTTTGCCCGTCCTGATGCCGTTCATATTCTTGTACATTATTCATGGGAAAACCCTTGTTAAAACACACAGAGACACACCAACACACTCCTCATCAATAAGTATAAACAGAATTCATGCTGTGCAGTCCCCCCTGAAAAAATAAAAACAATTCTGAAAATTCATGCACATGCACTCATGCATTAATAATGCACACTCGCATGGAGTGCAAGGATAAAGTGGGACCTGAGGCCATCCAGTAATGTTTCAACTACAGTTTGACCATCCGCCCTCGTTAGAGCTGTACTCATTTCACAGTTAGCATACTGTCTGTAAACAGAAATACACACTTTTAGATGTATTGTGCAGGTATATTAAAGGCGCCACGTGTAGCATCTCAACATCCATACACCATGACTGCATTTAAAGGGCCAGTGTGGAGGATGTAGTGGCATTTACTGGTGATATTTCTGCTGGTAGATCCTCCTAAATGTTCCACACTGGACGTTTTTTTAAATTCTACATCGAGTGGGGAATCTGCTCGACTCTTTTAAGCACAAAGCCGCAAGAGGGCGCTGGTTTAACAGCAGGGCGCAGCTGAGCTTCCAGATCTTCTGCTGACAACAGATGAACACATGAACATTTATTAATTTATTTTGTCTGCCACTCTCTCTCTCACATACAGGTACCCTAAACCAGCGCAACTGGGGTAAAAAGTACCCATCCTGTAACAGTGCCAGGCAGTCTCCTGTGGACATCGATGAGATGTTCACCCAGGTCAGGCTGCAGTACCAGAATCTGCAACTCGAAGGCTGGGACCAACTGACGGCGGAGTCCAGCACCATCCACAACAACGGGAAGACTGGTAGGTTGATGTTCCTGTACTGTTATTACTACTATCTACTGTACATCTCCTGCAGAACCTGGTTTTCTTATTTGAGAAGTAGATCAAATAATCCACAGGAATTACAAGCTTAATTTGGCCATGATCAAAACATCGTCGAAGCCATGTCTGCAAAGTCATACTGCATAAAATCCAACTAGAAGCAGCAACTAGAAGAGGAAGATACGGTCCACAGTAGATTCAATCTATGGAAATGATTTTGACATTATTCTGGTGCTGTAAAACATGACATCTTAATCCCTAGATGTGGAGAGGAGCTTAACTATTCCACATACAGAAAGAAAATCATTCACAACTCAGAGGTTAATGAGAGAAAGAAGCAGCAAGGATTTAAAGGCGAAAGAGTCACAAAGTGAGAGAGAAGATGGACCAAGTAATTGAGAGAGAGGCAACTGGAGGGACAGCAGTACCGGGGAATCATGTGGAGAAGGAAGGATGATCGATGTCGAGAGGCAGAGATGAAGCCGAGCAACAGAAAAGAGGCAACAAAAGAGCAAAAAATGTATGTAGAGAGAGAGAGAGCAGTGGAGAGACATTGTGAGGAGACAGTGAGAGGAGAGGCAGCGTGTGGAGTGATGTTTGGCCTGATAAACAACTGAAAGCTGTCTGAGTTATCGTCACCATCTTTCCAATACAGCCTGGGCCGTGTCTGTGTATGTGTGTGTGTGTGTGTGTGTGTGTGTGTGTGTGTGTGTGTGTGTGTGTGTGTGTGTGTGTGTGTGTGTGTGTGTGTGTGTGTGTTTGCACCCCCTATTTGTTAATGGTTCTAAAATGAATCTTTTTTTCTCTGTGAAGTCGGAGAGGAAATTGCATATTAAAACAGATATTGCATAGCTGTCATGATATTATCAAAGAAATATATGGCCTGCACAGTCTCACTAAAGTGAATGTTATATCCTGTTTTGAATCAACAAAGTCCTTCAACAAAGTAAGCTGAACAGAGTCTGCTTTAATATGAGAGCAAGCATCACACAATTTACATCAAAACCTGTGTGTTAAGCCGCTCTCATCGGTGTTTTTAGGTTAACAATGGATGTGTAATGTGAAAAAAGTTACCACCCCAAATATCACCTGACTCAGTTCCCCTCCTTTCTTTTTCTCTTTTTTTTCTTTTTAGCATCTTTCAGCATTGTTTTAGTTCTGTGGCCTCCAACTTTACTGTTTTGGTTCAGTCTCACTGCTCTCATCTGTGCCGCAGGCAGTTTCCATCAAAAAAGCTCTAAAAAACTTGTTTTATGCTTCCTGCCCAGCACTCAATTGCAGACAGAATTAGCAATCAGCTGGTGGACATAGTGGAGTGTTTGGCTGATAAGAGCCAAATATTTTCCTCAGCAGCAGGTGGACTTTAAAAGCAGAGCTAAATGGATAGCTGAATACCAGCCCTACATCAGTCAGGTGGCCAGAAATTCTAAATCACAGCTAATGTTGCTCTGTATCTGCTGGATGTGTAAATAAAAGACCTTTTGCTAAGTTTGCCTGGCCCTTTGCTGCGTGTCATCTCCTCACTGGCTCCTCCCCTTTCCTGTCACTCTTCAGCTGATAATGTGACTGTTTTCTCATACGGTATTGTTGCTGAGTCATCATGGACTGCCTGTGGATTGTTGGACAGATGTAGATTGTGACTGAAGACATATTGCATACTCCAAACGGTGGAAGAGGCTATGGTGATTCACTCACTCATGCTATTAATGAAGTGTATATTGGCAGTATATATTGCTATTGTTTATATGGTAATAATATGTAAATGTTCTCTTTTGGTTGCTCCCAACTGGCCAAAAAAGTCAATTAATGCAGGTTCAAGTATTGTTCACGTTAATTATCACTGTAATTACAAAAAACAAATGTTGACTGCCAGAAAACATTGCTAACAGACCAGAATATCCACATTTAATGCATGAATAGATGAACAGATCCACACTGTAGCAGTCAGACACTCTCATATCCTTTTCCCTGCTAGATTTAGCATCTTTGATATGACTGAAGATGTGTTTTGAGTTACTGCTTCCCCCCATCTCTTCAGTTGCTTAGAGGCAAATTTGGAAAAAGCTTTGGAGCCTGGTGGCCAAGTGGCAACCACCACCGCTGACTGCTGGGGGACTGAAAGACGTGGCAATCAACCACAGCCCCCCAAACATCCCCCTGATTAAACCTGTTGTAGGAAAAGCTTGACTCTGGCAGTCACCAATAAAGGGGATTGTTTTTTTCTCTGTAACAACAGGGTGGTCAACATAAAGGTTAAACTGGTGTGTGTGCATGTGTGTGTTTTAGTGGCCATCAGTGTGGAAGGGGAGTTCTTTGTGAGTGGAGGAGGGCTGAGCTCCAGGTTCCGTGTTGGTAGAATCAGCTTCCACTGGGGGCGCTGCAACGTGACCTCAGATGGGTCTGAACACAGCCTGAATGGGATGAAATACCCTCTGGAGGTACAGAAATACACAACATCTGTCGCCTATCCATCAACACTTATCGTTCACACATTTGTCTCCCAGAGTTCAGCTCACCTACCTGCTTCTCGCTCTCGTTTAGATGCAGATCTACTGTTACGATCCAGATGGCTTCCAAAGTCTGGATGAGGCTATTAGGGAAGGAGGGAGGACCGCTGCCTTGGCTGTGCTCTTTGAGGTGGGTCAGCCTGTTGAGTTTGAGATCAATCTGTGATTATAATAAAAGTGTATATTTGTCTGCCTGCTCCACAATAAAAGCTCCTGTTCTTTTCCACAGATCAGCCTGGAAGACAACGAGAACTTCAGTCCTGTTATAGAAGCAGTCAACACCGTCAGCAGGTTTGGTAGGTCTCTTCTACATACAGTGCTAGCTCTGGGTCATCACTGGGTAAAAATGTATCCTCTACAAAGAAAGTAGCTGAATTCAGCTGGTGACTAATTTAACTAAGTATTTGGTTTTCTGTTTACCAGACAAAATCATGATTCTGTAGGATTTAATGGCATCCAGTGACCACAATGACAACAGATCCTTCTAAATGATACAAACTGAACCTTTAACATACAGTCTGACATTTTTCAAATGCCATGTCCCAGGTGGTGGTCCTATATCTTGAGACATTTATTACTTGTTTGTTTGTAACATTTTGTTTACTGATGAGACTTTTTATTTTCCAGGTAAGAGCGGATCGATGGAAGCCTTCACCTTGCGGTCCTTGCTTCCAAATAACACAGATAAATATTACATCTACAACGGCTCACTAACTGAACCTCCCTGCTCTGAGACGGTGGAATGGATCATCTTTAAACACACTGTAGCTATATCAGAAACACAGGTCAGTAGGTTTTATTACACACACACACACACACACACACACACACACACACACACACACACACACACACACACACACACACACACACACAAACACACACACACACAGGTGTCCAATGCCAATTTCTTTCATTCATAAAGAAAAAGCTTCTTTTGAAATCAATGACAGCGGCTCTAACTATTAAAATGGTATTATTGTGTCTGATGAAAGGCTGATGCTCAGTTCAATATTAGGCGTATGCAGTCATAGTGCTTCACAATATTGAAAAAAGAAAAGTTTTCTATAGCTTTTTTTCTGTCATCAGCCTACACTGGCTTTAAGTTAAAATGGAAAAACATCTTTTGTAAAGTTATTGCTGTCTGTACTGTCTGGTTGTAGCTGTGGTTGGTTTTAGGTCAATCTTCTTTTACATCTGTGCACAAAATAAAAACAAAATGTCACATTGAAGTGATGCTATGTGACAGTTTAACCAAAATGTGATCTTACAGAATAGAGTTTTTTGTTGTGGCATGATCTGGTAAAAAATAAGGAGGCCCGTTATGCAGCAACAACACAACCCGACACTATAACGTTACTGCAGCTTGATCGCAGGCTGAAGACCTTTAAGGAACTCTGAGGAGCGGCGACTTTGGATGAAATCGTCTCTGTAGTAATTATCAATTATGTAGCAGACTAATGGAGAGTGAATGAGGTCATGAAAGTGGTTGTGTGTATATTACATGTGCATATTTGTGTGTGTCTGTGTGTGTTTGTCTGTTTGCATGATTGAAACGGGGGTGGCAAGGCATGACATGGGCACATTGTAGCGAACCAAAAATAGAGCAGCGCTGTCTCTCTGCCTCCGCCTGGCACCAGCACAAACCTCTTAAACAAACACACACTCACAAGCATCAGTGTTGGCTTTATTTTGGCAACTGCATAGAAACAGGGAAGATGCACAGACACATGTTTATTTTCTTTGTTTCGGTTCCTGTCTTCTTTCTGTTCACCCATCCTCTGTCTGTCTGTCTCTGTGTACCCAGTTGGAGTTGTTTTGCGACGTGATGACGATGGAGCAGGCTGGGTATGTGATGCTGACAGATTACCTGCAGAACAACTTCAGGGAGCAGCAGCAGCAGTTCATGGGTCAGGTGTTCGCCTCGTACACCGGAGTGGAGGACGTGCTCACACCCAGTACGTCATCAAACACACAAACAAAAAGTTTACCGCATGTTTGTTTCAGTATCTTTTATTTAGACTTTTAGGTCATTTAAATGCTCTTACATCATGATATGCTGAGTGCATCTTCAGCAGCAGAGTCACTGCACCTTGTACATGTGCACCTTGGTGTTACCCTCTAATTGTTTTATAATGTTTCTGCTTTATTTGCTAAAGTCACAGACTAGGTTTAAACCTCTGATGTTGTGGTGACATGGTACCATTACAAACCTCAGCTAACTGAGCCAAATTTAGGTCTATGACCCAAATCTCCATGATTATGTGAAGTGGTAAACATAACTACATGCTTCTCATTACACTGTAATACTGCAAGTTAAACCAACGTGTGTCAAAATGGTATCTAGATACTTCCACTGTTATCAGCAACAATTTTTTGCACAATTCAACCCTTTTTCCCCTCAGCCCTAACCCAAAGAGCTGCTCTCTTCAACCACTGTAATCTGTTAATATTTCACCATGGTTTTTTTGTTGGATGCTGTTTTATGGAGTCAAATAAAGCTCAGGAAAAAAAATGTGAATGGTATTTCTAAAGCATGAACTCAAACACAAAACAAGACGGACAGAAAAATGTCCATTATTTTGAAATAATTTTAAAATCAATTAATTTCAATTAAGTTTTCTTTTTTCTAGTCCCTTTCTGTGTCTTTTCCACCTCTGCTCTTAGTTCTCAGTTTTGTTTCTGTTTCGCTCTTCTTGTTCTCTGTGCTGCTGAGCCTGTTTTGACACGGGTGGGGGCTCAGTGCCCACAGGCCATCCAGCAGCTTGCTAGGTGGAGAACTGATAACTGTGCTACACGACTGCAGCTTTGGTTCCAAGTTTCTTCTTTGGTTTACAGTGTTGCTTTTTCTGTTTACAGTTTTGGATTCACATTAAGATGATTTGACAGAATCATTTTTATTTCATTTACATTCCGCTTAATTTATTGTATTTTTTAGTCTTTGGAGCTAGTCATGTGGCTTTTAATTTTAAAGGCAGAGATCTCAGCAGCCAACTGAGAAACTGGTATTGATCAACAGTTGCTATTAACTCCCTGCAGATACAGTATGTTATGCTTTGGTACTATTAAAAAGTCTTCCTTATTAGGCTTTAAAGACGTCAACCCAGAGTCTCCACTTCTCCGGAGCTCTAAATCTATTCACTTATCTAATTTATACCAAATTTTGGGCAGCATGGTGAAGGATCTTAAACCCCTCCTCAGGGATCAATATAAATAATACATTATTAATCTTATTTTTCTCTCTGACTGAAAATATTGCCCGTCCTCTGCTTCCTTTCTAGCTGTAACGCTGTCCTCCAAGGTCAGCCTCGTCGTGATCATCAAAAGATATAATTCACAACGCTCTCCAGCTTCATAATGTCGACCCTCAAGTAAAGTGGGTCTTTTGGGTTGCCAGGGAGCTCGACTTTGTAGTTTAGTGCCCCTGCTCCTCTCAGCACAGGCAATTTATTTTTGCAGCTCTTTTTGAAATTGAAATAAAGTGTTCAGAAATTCAGAAAAGGGTCTTTTTGCCTGTAACAAATTCATGCAGCCATACACACACACACACACACACACACACACACACACACACACACACACACACACACACACACACACACACCTCCCACTCATTGCCACGCTCACCTCCTGAGCTGGGCTCTTTAAAATGTATTCCTGTTTTCTTCCATTTCCAGTGCAGTCGATTAACGTCAAGTCACCTTCCGCAGCTCAACTTAATGTGAGATGTTGCACCGTTTCTGTGCTGTTCATGTTTAGATGTCCAGTTGTACCTTCAGTATTTCTTCATCTCTTTCTTTAAGGCTTCCTATTGAGTTTTCTGCTACATCCACACTTATCAATATTTAAATGTTCTTACCAATCTTGCCCTCTTTTTTTTCTCTCTTTCTGCCATCTCTAGTCTGCAGCTCGGAGCCAGAGAACGTTCAGGCCGATGCCCAGAACGACACGACCATCATGGTGATGTGGGAGCGTCCCCGCGTGGTTTACGACACCACCATCGACTGGTACACGGTCACCTACCAGAGGCTGCAGGGCAGAGACCAGAGCAAGCAGGAGTACAGGACAGACGGGGACCAGGACGTGGTACGAAAGAATCTCTTCACATCTCTTCACATCTCTTCACAAAACAGAGAAAACCAAACAGCCCCCATATGTACACTCAGCTTTGACTGCATGTAATGTTTTTGCACCATTATCTACAGGCCACACAGGTACATCTGATAAATAGATAATAGGTAGAAATTACAGCCATTCCCTTTTCTCCTGCAGCAAATATTAGAACATCATTTGTCAGTCATCCCTCCGCTCTCACTCTGTCCGTCACACTCACACTGCTACTGCTGTTGGGATCGGGATTTGTTAAAGTGATCGATGGTCACGATCAATCTTGGCCTCTCAACGGGTCATTGAGCATCCCTTAAAGTGATCAGCAATATGTGTGTATGTGCATTTACATGTATATCCGCGTGCGTCTGTGTGCGTATGTGTGTAGACGAGTCATCAATATTCCGACCAACATACTGCGACACAAGTGACGGGCCGTTAGAAAATGTAATCCCCACCTTTTGTTTACAGACCCTCCAGTATGTGTGGAAGTGCATTATTTGTTTTGTCTGTGTTTTTTATTTTTTAAAGGTTTTTTATATTGATAAAGCAATATAACCAATATTATCTATATTAAATGTTTGCTTTACAGTACATCATACATTGTTTTACTTTACTTTTTGTGTTTGCAAGAGTTTAACATACTACACAAACACACTGTGGTAATGCAATTCCAACTAGATTATAGTCTCTATTATTATGTAGTGATGTACTCAAGTCCATAGTATAAAACTAATGAGCATGAACTGGCTTATATGTAATAATTATTGCTGTATGTGCAACTTGAAGTTATATTCTGTAAATGTCAAATACAGCATGGTTAGCAGTGTTTACTTATGACTCATTTCCCAGCAAATCTGTGATTTCACCCAGGGGTATTTGTATCCCGGGGGTACTTCTGCAGTTACCAGGCGGAACATGGAAAGATTACAGAGTAGTTCAGCTAATTGATGATGCTTATCTTTAGTATTTTTATTGTCTCAATGACCAATAAACCACCGCCTATGATAAGCTGACTGCACAGGAAAACCCCCCACCACTGACCTTGACACCAACTGCTGCAAATGAGAACGAGCGAGTGGAGAAATAGATAGAGATGGTTGAAACCGTTCTGCCTCTCCAAGTGGCTGTAGCATGAAGGCACACTTTATATAATTATGTGTTAAATAATGTTCAAAATCAAATTCAATTCACTCATTTAAACTGTGTGACTTTTCAGGGTGCCATCATCCCCAGTCTGCTGGCTAACAGCAGCTATGTGGTTCAGGTGGTTGCTGTTTGCACCAATGGACTCAGAGGACGATGGAGCGACCAGATTGTAGTGGACATGCCATTAGAAGACCCTGGTACAAACACACACGCAAATACTCCTACAAAGTAAGAGCATATATTTTAACTGCTACAGTCGACAGTCTTTGCTTCTTTCCTCTCTCTGTAGAAAGCGATTCAGATCCTGACGCTGTCGCAAAAGACTTGGAAGGCAACAGGGAGGTAGGACCTGATACCACTCTGCATGTTGGAATTGATTTTGAGTTTTCCTTGTTTTCACTCATATCAGTGAACCTGATTATTATGCAAATTATTGTAATTATGTCAGTAGAGGCTTGTCATTGAGTGTTTGGAGAGCAGCACAAAAGGTTATAAAGGACTTTCCAGCATGTTTAAGAGGGAAATCTGAAACACTATAGTGCTGCTGTGTTCACTGAGAGAACCAGCACAGCCTGTGCTCTTCCACACTGCATGAATGGATATTACTTTATTATCAGTTAATTTGAATGTTGAAGAAGTAAACAAGACAACTGCACCACCACTCTGTCTTTGGTTTATATTCACCTTATTTAAGGAAGAAGGGGTGACAGCATGAAAGCCCTTTACGTGTTTTTGTTCCCAATGGCCTGTCCCTTATGATATACATGGTATATAACCAAGCACCTTCTGACACAGCTCCATTCAGTAGTGCCTTTTCTTTTTTTCTTTTTTCTTTATCTTGGTAGGTCTCATCTAAAGCCAGATGGGAGAAACCAGAGAACCAGAATCAGGTGGATTTGTCTCCAGAGGACCACAGCCCCGTGGAGGAGATCCCAGTGGAGCAGACTAGAGTTTACCAGAACCAACCTACACACCAACAGAACCAGCCCGGACTCCAAACCCAAACAAATCAGAACCTCCCAGGACAGGCCAGCACCCGTTCAACTCCAAACACTCCCTCCGAGTCTGCTGTTTTACAGAAAACGCGACTCAACCAGAATGTGAAAAAGAAGCCGATTTGGAATAAGTCGGAACCCGATTATGTGAATCAGAACTGGATTGATGAGGACCAGGAGGTCCGAACACACCAGTCGATCAATAAGGCAGGTTTTGACGGCAATGGGGCAATATGGATAACTGATGTAACTGAGCAGCCGGGCTTCCTGTTTCCAGTTGCTCGGACAACTACCCCGCCGACGATCCGCCGACAAATCACAGAAGAGGCCTCTCTGTCAGTGCTTCCACATCAGGTAGTTCGCTGAACACGTTGCCTATTTTTCTCAATGGGTTTATTTCCTTCATCCTTATTGAAAATGTATTCAATATAATACCAAATTGTTTTAGTTATCCAAAGATTTTGTTCATGTTTCTTCCTCATCCAAGAAACCTTAATTTTTTTGTGCTCTGCCTTTTCTACTTGCAGTCAAGGGATCCACCAGACCAAGCCGATGAAACTGACCTCCCCTCTCCCCAGTCGGACCTCTACACCCCTCCTGTGGAGGACATCCAAGTCACAGATGTCTTCTATGAAGACACAGTCAACAACTCTCCACTAGAAACCCCCACGTCTGCCTCAACAGTGTCTGCTGCTGCTGCTGCTGCTGCTGTGTTGCCAGGTCAGATTTGATTTGAAGAGCTTTTTCTTTTTTTGGCACTCTTGTTTACCAAAAACATCTCGGGTTGGTGCTGCTGCTGCCTTTCTGCAGTGCCAAGGAGGAATTTAAGATCATAAATATTTGAATAGGTACCAGCAGAAAATGTTTCCTCTGCTGGACGCTTGCCACAGATTCTGCTCAGATTAACACTGATGTTTAGGTTGTGTTGTTTTTAGCTTAATTTTAAATTGAATCTCGTTTAAATGTATACATTTAATAAGTGTTTCAAATAAATAATATGAAAAGCTATTGCTGCTTAAGTTGTAATCATAACACATGGCTGTTGAATGGTTGTTCACTTTTGATGTTTAAGTTTGCTAACCTTGTCTCAACGGCCAGACAAGATGTTAAGATGTTTGTTTAACTAGTGTTTCTTGTTTTAGTTGATTGTTTGAAAATGTGACATGATGTCTCATTAGATCACTTCACATGACATCCTACATTAATTAATTACATCATAGCATGTCAGATCATCATGTTGCCATGTGTCATGTTGAGATGTGGCAACAGGTGTCACCATATTATCATTGTATGTCTTCTGTCCCACAGGTAACGAAATGGGTGAATTCTCTCCGCCGTCCTCTGATGATGGCGATGCCCCTGTAAACCAACCCCTACCAGAAACCATAGCCTCAGTGTCCTCCACACCCTCCCCCCTCTGGATCACAGCGAGGGCGGCGACCGCCAGCAACACACTCGCTGAGTCAGTCTACAAATCATTCACCACCTCCTCTCTGCTCAGGGTGCTGATGCACACAACCCAGCCCATGTTTAATGGTAAGATGAACACCCTCTCTACAAAGATATATCATATACCATTAAAGATGTGACTTTTACTCCCTTTACTCTTAAATGCGTCTATGAATTTATAATGGGAGGGATATTACACGGCAGCAGCATGGTATAAATAAATGGTTTTTTGTGGTGGGTTGACAGCTGGACTTAATTGCGGCGGATGATTGCCTGTCTCCTCTAATAGCCCACTGCTGTTGGCTAATCACTGCTGTGCTCTGCGATCTCGGTGGCATGTTGTATAGTGGCATGATGTAGATAATGCTGGTGGTGGTGGTGGTGGTGGTGGTGGTAATGATGATGGTCGGAAAAGAATAAGCTGGCGTTGATGATGATTAGAGTGATAATCAGTGGCTGCCTCACTCTCTGAACTGGTTCAGAAATTAAATATGCTGTGACTCTTGCTGAGTTATGACTTCACGTGAGGTCGTACTTTTCCTGGCTCTGTATAATCTACTCGAGTCCACTCAAGCTCTGTGATTAGCATCTACTTTTGGGATTCCTCTTCTGGGTCTGCATTCTTTTCTGTGGCTCAATGGCGCACTCTGGTGGTTGTTGTATTTTTCCTTCTGTCCTTCTCACAGAATGCAGGGTTCACTTCATCTACAGTGGCGCCTTCTCTGTGTGTCTTCACTTTATTCAGGAAACCAATAAATAACTTGCGACTCTTGGTTCTCTTCTTGCATTTTGTATGTGGTTCGGGCATGATAATGCCAGGAAACTACCATTGCTAAGTCAAGACTGTCCTTGTGTCTGAATTTCTCAACTTCAGTCAAACTATACCTTATATGGGACGTTCAATTCTGACCTTTTCTTCCATCTTTCCTGGCATGAGCAGCACATTTTGAAAGGACACTATACAGTGCTGGTGTCCTGGAAAAGTTTTCTGTCAGACCTTTACTTTGGCTTTTCTTTCAGCAAATACACCCACTTCCAAGGTTGAAGACTCAGCCTCTGATCAGTCCTCTGGCTTAACAAACTCTCCTAACGCTCCTCGTGGAGTGACCGCCAACCCTCCAAATCCTGCAGTCTCAGTCCCACAAGGAGGATTCTCTGCTGAAGGAGATTTATTCAATGTCACACCTGAGTCTCTCGACCCTTTTAATGAATACACAAGCAGTTTCCGTCCTTCTGCTAAAGATAAGAGGAGCGGCATTATCTTTCATCATAATGACAAGACTGCTGAAGAGCACTCTATTGTCCATTCACAAATGGGTTTAGAACACCCTCTGACCTCTACCACTTTGGGTTCTCCAGATCGCTTAATCACTGCATACTCCTTTCCTCTTGTGCCTGATAATGACTCGAGTACCATCAACTTATCAAAAACATACACAGTTGAGGGAAATACCACAAATACTGATGGTAGGATTCAAGACGGTCTGAACATCTTGCCACTTCCTGACAATGAAGAGTATGACGGGACGGATAGACGTGAAGAGGAACAGAACTCATCATTCTTTGATTCTAGTGGATCAGGCTCCGGCTTTTATGGCAAAAGGCTCAATCAGGAGTTTGATGGAGTCACTACAGTCAGGACTGACCTTTCTACTATTCTAAACTCAGCTGTTAGCTTCAAGATGGATAACACTGTGAAGAAAAGTAAATCAAAAGGAATTAAGATGGATAGTGAAAAATACGATGTTACAGATGGGGCAGGAAGCGAAATAAGTAGAAAGAAAGAGAGTGAAAAAGCCGCAGAGACACAAAGTATACACGACACTGTGAATCAGAGAGTGAGGAAAGTGGATGGTGAACCAGATGAGAGTGTCAGACGGCTCAATAGCACAGCAGGTTGTGACATGCTGGAAGAGAAAGAGAGAGAAACTGAAGGTAAGACTTTAGCAGGAAAGATAATATACTCTGAGACTGGCAGTGGGGATGAAATTGAGTCCTATTTTAGAGTTTTTAGCTGGCCTGAGGACGTCCTTGGTTCTGGAGATGGCGATGCAGAGGGAACGAGAAAAGTAAAGAAAGTCAGCGATGACACACAAGGTATCAAAGCTGTCAGTAAAAATCTAAGTGGTGGTGGGAGGGCAGATGGCAACAAAGAAGTTGTATCTGGAAGAAGGGATCCAGGTCTCCAGCTGTCTGCCAGTCGAGATAAACCTACAGCAGAGTCCCCACTGTTTGGCAGCAGGGAAGAAAATGACAATGGTGGTGGAAATGATGAAGAAAAGAGAAACATAAGTCTTGACAGTCACATCGTTGGGGGTAACTCGACTCTGGAGGATAACACAGAGGGAGACGCTGATGGTAAAAGTAATGGGGGTGTGAAGATGGAGGAACACATTGAAGTAGGTGGTAAAGAGGACATTGATGCATCTGTGATTGGAGAGAGTTTACAGCCGTTCTCAACTGTGGACGGGTTGTTGTTTCATGCTGCAAGAAGTCCTGTGTTGGGGCGTCGCGTCCCTCTGCTCAGACTGACAGATGGCAGCAAGGCCGCAAAGGAGCAAATGGAAGGTAAATGTCCCTCAATGCTCAGCTTCTCCTCAGCTCTGCCTCTCTGCGACCCAATACGACAGGGCAGTTTGCCCTCTTACATACTTCTTTCATACATACAAGTTAGTGTCAACCTACACAGTTGGAGTTAAAGGAGCAGTGTGTGACATTCAGGAGGATCTACTGGCAGAAATGCAATATAATATTCTTAGTGTATAATCGTCTGAAAATAAGAATTGTTGTGTTTTTTGTTACCTTAGAATGAGTCAGTTTTATCTATAGAGGGAGAGTGTGTCCTCCTCTACATAGTCAGCCATGTTGAACCACCATGATTCTACAGTAGCCCAGAAAGGACAAACCAAACACTGGCTCTAGATAGGGGCTTTTTTGCGGTTTTTGCAAGTCTCAGAGCCACCGCAGTTTCTCCTACATGCTTGGGTGGCAAGCGGTATTCACTTGGTTGCAGTCTGCTACTTCACCACTAGATGCCACTAAATCCTACACACCAAATTATGCTTTTTGTTTTATATCTTCAGCAACAATGACTGAATAGACATTTATGCCAAACAACATTGTTATTGCTGGTGGAAACATAAACGCTCTAATAAACAATATTTTTACATTTACAGAGGATGAAATGTGTGTAATGTGAGACAGGTTGATTGCAGTGACGAACCCACCGAGAATTATTACCCAACTTGGCAGTTTGCCTCAGCTTTATGGAGCATTTTAGTGTCTCAGCTCATTGATTGGGTTTTTAGGCTCCCTCAAACTCGTTTTAGAGCCACAGCAGGCAGCGTTTTCTCAGCTCTGATAATGGTATGCCACCTGCCCAGCACCAAATAGCAGACAGATGAAGTTAGTACTAGCTACAGAACATAGTGGAGAGGCTAAAAAGCCAGATTTCCTTTAGAAGCTGGCTGAGAAGCAGACAAAGCTTGACCTTAAGATCCATTTAGTAGCTGTTCTGGAGCTTTTGGCTGATTTACAAACTTTAAATTAAAATTGTAGAGATCATTATACTGACATGATCTTTACGTCTGTCTCTATGCTTTCTGACGCTCTTTCATCCTCTGTCTCAGAGGGCAGCAACAGCAGCCACGAGTCTCGGATCGGACTGGTCGGAGGCGTGGAGAGGGAGAAGAGGACAGTGGTTCCTCTGGCTGTCGTCTCCACTCTCACCATCCTCTGTCTCCTGGTACTTGTGGGCATACTCATCTACTGGAGGTACTCTCTCACACACATACACACTAGGTCAGTATCTGCCTGGATGAGTTTCACCTGTGCACTTCACTTCAATTCTCATTTGTTTGTGTCACAGAAATTGTTTCCAGGCGGCTAATTTCTACCCAGATGACGGTGCATCACCTAAAGTCATATCAGCTCCATCTACACCCCTGCTGCTGGCCACAGGTAACACATACACACACACACACACACACACACACAGGAATTTATTACACCATCAGTGTGAGATCAAACACTACTGTGCCACGAAGCATGCAGTTAAATGTTCACTGTCTGGTTGCAGATGGTCACGAGCCGCTGACAGTGAAGCAGTTTGTGAAGCACGTCATGGAGCTGCACACCACCAACACCTTCTCCAAGGATTTTGAGGTACGTGGATCGTTCATATTTAGAATCTTTTTTTATGAGGGGAACGTAAACAGCCACAAGATATTTTGAAAGAATCCTCCAATAAAAAAATAGTAGAAATAGTTTTGGTTCATGTGTATAAGTAGACAGTACCTCATTGCTCTTTAATGCTCTTCCATATCTCTATTAACATCATGTTCTTCAGGGATATCCTGCAGCACAGTGATAATGTGTAACTTCCATGTACAACATGTTGTGCAACAGTATTCAGGAAGGGTGTTCGCTACTAACCATGGGAGTGCTACTTGGTTCTCAGCCCTGACAGGACTTCAGGATAGGACAGGAGAGGATTTCATAGGCAGGTTTTGATGGATTAAAAACTTCCTATTACAAGCTTTCAGGCTGGAAAAGTCTTAATCTTGGTGTTTTAGAAATGTCTCATGTGGAGTATTGACATATCTTAATGTTGTTTTGTAGAACAGCTTGTGTTTCAACAATAGGTACATCTGCATGACATTAGTCACCTCTGTTTCCTAGCATGAACCTCCTGAGTAACACACACACAGATAGGATTAATTCAAGTATACTTCTCCCATGTAAGTGTATTTGTGTGTTTTCTCCCATTTTGTTATATGGTTTTGGGCTTTTCTGTAGCTGCAGCAACAAACCAACATTTTATATCAATCTAAAAAAAAAAAGAGGCTAAACTGAAGGAGCAGATCAGAGCCTTGACTTGTAGATACACACAAACCTTTTTAGCTATACGATGCCTTAATATTTCACAGTGTACAACGAGAGGACATGGCTAACATGGTTAAAAGCTAACAGCTCAGTTGGGAATATCAGTCTATTTCCCACTTAGCACCGCCCTCTCCGTGTGTATCTGAACCCCATATTCCTGTACCTGCACTGACTCCCTGTCTGTCTGTCTGTCTGTCTGTCTGTCTGTCTGTCTGTCTGTTTGACATTTTGCCCCCTGCCCCTCCTCCTCCCACTCTCCTTTCACCACCTCCACCACCATCGTTGTGCTTTCTGCATCCTCACCACCCTCCATTAGATTGTCAAAGAATCCTATGAGGTAAGACACCTACAGTATGACCCCTCTGCAGTTGCAGAGATTGACCCTCTGTTGACAAACCAGTAGTGTGTTTGTAGACTGCGTCATTTATGTCAGATACGACATTGAATGTAAAGTTGGTAAATAATTAAAGTAAATTTCTTTGCTAGTAATGAATAGGCATTTGGATATAAATGTGTACAAATGAGAGTTTTAGTTTGTTTCTTCAGATTTGAGCTTGTTTTGAAGCCGATTCTCAGACATATTTTGAAACAGAGATGGAGCCAAGGACCCTTCTGAGTAGCATTTTTTATTTATAGTAATGAAATAAAAATGAAAACTGCCTTTGTAATAATTCTGTTTTTGTAAGACTGTTGTCCCACATTTTAATTGAATATGAATCTTTAATACAGGTCAGGTACACTTGCATCAGTCTTCTGCATAGATCACAAATTATGCCTCCTTCTCCTGTATATGGAGATGGATTTAGCACATGTGTGGACTTCACTAAATGAACCAGGGATTATTGTAACCCTAATGTGTGCTATTCTTTGTCTTTGTCCCACGAAATCCTTATTTTATTCCTCCATAAACAAATCTTAATTCTGGTTATAGCTTCATTCGTGTGCTTATGTTTTCACTCTAGACTCTTGACCATTGTATTATAATAATATAGACAGCTACAGACCAATGAAAGATTAAAAAAGATAACAACCTGTTTGTCCAGAAGGAAAACAGCCACATCTCATGCTCACTCTTTGTGCTAATTAGCAAGTTTTTCTTCCTCTGAGCGAGTAACCCAAATCTTAATTGTGTTTTCTATTGTTTTTCAGGAGGTGCAGGCGTGCACGGTGGACATGGGCATCACTGCCGACAGCTCCAATCACCCAGACAACAAAAGCAAGAACCGATACATCAACATACTGGCCTGTACGTCACTGTTCAGTACGATCACTGTTCAACATTTAATTGTAAAAGCCAGCAGTGGTGAAACTGATCAACCTTTTCCTCTCATCAGATGACCACAGTAGAGTCAAGCTCTCCAGCAGTTTGGACAGAGATGGGAAATGCGGGGACTACATTAACGCTAACTTTGTAGACGTAAGTGTGTTTTCCACCAAAATAAACTGTAATTACACTGTGTTTTCTTTGACTAAATAGTGGTTTCCTCTGAAGGGTTATGAGCGAACGAGGGCGTACATCGCAGCTCAAGGGCCTCTCAGAGCGGGCAGGGAAGACTTCTGGAGGATGATCTGGCAGCAGAATGTTGGCGTTATTGTCATGATCACCAACCTCAAGGAGAAAGGACGGGTAGGAGGTCACTCTGCTTCAACCAGTCTGAAATAAACAGCACCTGAGATCAGTAAAAAAAAATCTGGATATATAATTGTATTATATAACACATCTGGAAATCTGTAGTGTTCATCGTTCATCTGGAAGGAATGTAATTTTGTAGCCTTCTTCCTTTATGTTATCTAAAACAAGATGCTGATGCACATTTAAGTGAATGTTAATTGTTACTTGAAACAAAAGTGCAATTGTGATGGCCGAGTAAGACATTACCATTATGTTTATTATGTACTGTAAAATTTAAATACTATAAGCAACAATATATATATAATTTGAGCCATTGTTCATAAAAATATTGATTACAGCAGCTTTATGTTTTTTAATGTGACCTTCATATCAGTACTGCATTATTTGATTATTGCCACCTTATGGTTTCAGCTACAATATTCTATCATTTCTTGTCAATTCTGACATGGTGAACAGACAATAACTATTTAGTGTTTTTTACAGACGGAGGGATGTGTTCGTTCTCTCACACATCTCTGCTGGTCATCCTCTTGTTTCATCTTATATCATATTTCTACAGACAAAATGTGACCAGTACTGGCCGGAGGAGAACCAGGAGGAATACGGTCCATACCAGGTGTCCCTGAAGAGCAGCAAGACCCTCGCTTACTACACACTGCGGACGTTCACTGTCAGAGACACCACCAATAAGGTACTTCACACACACACACACACACACACACACACACACACACACACACACACACACACACACACACACACACACACACACACACACACAAACATAGGCTTTGTAAAGCTCTTTAGATACATGTGTTCTCAAATAGTGCCCACACAAAAATCACACACATAATAACACCCCTTCTGCTCTTCCAGGTTTCTCAGAGGAGAGTTGAACACACTGTCCTCCATTACCACTACACCCAGTGGCCAGACATGGGCGTCCCAGAATACACTCTGCCTGTCCTGTCCTTCATCAGAGCATCCTCCCGGGCACGGACACAGGAGATGGGACCCGTACTGGTACACTGCAGGTACACTGTGTGTGTGTGTGTGTGTGTGTGTGTGTGTGTGTGTGTGTGTGTGTGTGTGTGTGTGTGTGTGTGTGTGTGTGTGTGTGTGTGTGTGTGTGTGTGTGTTATGTCAGATATGCCATATGCCATGAGTACATGTATTTAACATGTGATGTGTGTCACAGTGCCGGCGTAGGAAGGACAGGAACCTACATAGTGATAGACAGCATGCTGCAGCAGATCCAGGATCAGGGTACGGTGAACGTTCTCGGGTTCCTAAAACATGTACGGACGCAGAGGAACTTCCTGGTCCAGACGGAGGTAAGCGGACAGACAGACACCCACTGATGTCCATCCTTATTGGGAACAGACTGTCTCACCACCTGTCTCTCTCCTATAGGAGCAGTACGTGTTCATCCACGATGCTCTGGTGGAGGCCATCTTGAGCCGTGACACCTCGGTGACCTCGGACCTCCTCCACACTTACGTGTCCGACCTCCTGACCCCCGGGGTGTCGGGCAGGACCCGCATGGACAAACAGTTCAAGGTCTAGCATGTTGTCTTTATAAACCTCTGATTTGGGGTCATTATCATGCAAGTGCACACTGAATGTTTGTTTGCGTTTCAGTTGATCAGTCAGCGGCAGGCGAAGCACGCAGACTACAGCACGGCCCTGAGAGACGGCAATGCTGAGAGGAACAGAGCCAGAGCTCTGATGCCTGGTAAGCAGGGCCGGTTCACAGGATCTTCAAAGGCTTTGAGCTCATTACCTGATCTTGAGGCTCTGAGAGAGAGCACCAGCAGTAAAAATCTACTTTTAAGACCTTTATTCTTCGCAAGTGATTCATTGAGTCACGTCTTTGTGTTTTTGCACAGTGGAAAGATCAAGAGTGTGTCTGACCGCTTCAGAAACAAACGCCACGGGGTACATCAACGCCTCCTACGTCATGGTGAGACAACTGGAGATTGTTACCATTTTATTAAAGGCTGTTTTTTTTTCTGTTTTTAATACGTGAACAAACCGTTCGCTGGTAGTTTGATGCTGCTCGTGCTCTCTCAGGGACACCACCACAGTAAGGAGTTCATAGTGAGCCAGACTCCTCTGAGCAGCACCGTGGCAGATTTCTGGAGAATGATCTGGGAACACAACACGCACACTGCTGTCTGTCTGCCAGACACACACTGTCAGGTACAACACACGCACACACACCAACACATACTGTGTATGGTACGTGACTGTATATAAACACACCCGTTCACATGTTTTCCTGTTTATGTCAGAGTAAGGAGGGCGAGTCTTGTGTTTACTGGCCCAGAAAAGACCAGCCAATGAGCTTTGAGGGTTTCACTGTGTCGTATTCGGGCGAGGAGCATGTATGTCTGTCCAATGACGAGAGGCTTTTGGTGCAGGACTTTACAATGGAGTCTCCACAGGTATTACACACACACACACACACACACACACACACACACACACACACACAGACGTGGCGTTGTATGTATGTATTTTGCATACATTTAATCACTTGAGATATTGAGGCACTATCTTTCTCACAGACGTCACTCCCTCCTTTCTGTTTTTCTCTGCCTCTGTCTAGAACAATTATGTGTTGGAGGTGCGCCAGTACAGCGCCACCTGCTGGCCCAACCCAGACAGCCCAATCAGGAACAGTTTTGATCTGGTCAACACAGTCAGAGAGCACAGCAGACACTCAGACGGACCCACGGTCATACACGACCCGTGAGTACAACACAGACAGGTTCATTCATTCATTTGACATTTTGTTCTTTCTTTGCAAGGGTAAATTTATATGTGTGTGTGTGTGTGTGTGTGTGTGTGTGTGTGTGTGTGTGTGTGTGTGTGTGTGTGTGTGTGTGTAGGTTGGGAGGTGCTACATCAGGGCTGTTCTGTGCCCTCACCACCCTGTGCAGTCAGCTTGAGGAGGAAGGAGCGGTTGACGTCTACCAGGTGGCACGGATGACCAACCTCATGAGACCTGGGGTTTTTAATGATGTAGTAAGTACTGACAGACACACACACACACACACACACACACAGGTGAACAACTGCACCTCAGACATCATAATCATCATAATCATAATTTATTTAAAAAAAATAAGGCAGTAAGAGGTATTATTTTATAATAAAACATGGTTCAGTCCTGAAGCTGTGTTTTGCCCCACAGGAACAGTACCAGTATCTGTACCGAGCTGTGCTGAGTCTGGTTAGCAGCCAGGAGGACCAGAGAGCCCTGCAGAGTCCAGAAACGAACGGATCTGTACCACTGGGACAGACTAACATCGCTGAGAGTCTGGAGTCCCTCATGTAGACACACACAAGCACACACACATACATGCACATTGACTCATTTGTGATGAGAGGATGAAAGGCATCATGTTTGTGTCTATGGTTAATAGCTGTGTCCACTGAGCATGCTAATGCTTTAATGTACAGTATGCTCAATAATCAGAGATCGTTAGTCAAAATATAAAAATAAAATAATAATAAGTAATCCAGTCGTACATTAAGTAATCCAAATCACTCTCTTCCCTTTTAATTATAAATAATGAAAACAAAAACACCACTTTTATGACGAGTGAATCCCATTAAACAGGAGCTCAAACAACTTGCTGTCTGCAGTTTGCTTTTTATCATTTACGTAGTTTCTTTTTGACGCAGTTCATGTGTGTCTCGTTTTCCCTCCAAACACATCTGGCAGCTGCAGACAGGTCATTAAAGGGATGACCTTTACTTCTCATACTGTCAGCATTAGCATGCACAGCAGACTAAGCTACAGAATCTACCAGACACAGAGCTCATGTCTGACCAACCCGCCATGATGTGAAAGGTACCACTGTCTGATCAGGCAGCCTGGTTTTAGTTAATTAATTAAAGGCTAATAAATAATTTAGTAATGCTTTATAGATCAGTTATAAGTCTTTAAATAAACAATGTTTGTGTTGCCAGGTTGTGCTTTGAGTTATTTCTGGAAAAGGGCTGCAGACGAGATGGACCAAAATCCATTTAGTAACATGTTGCAGACTTGCTAATTAAAGCCCTTTATTAAACATTTATAACACAGACTTGCTAATTAGAAAGTGAAAACCCAAGATTGATAACTATGTTTTTACAGAATAGAAAGGATAAACATGAGCCAATGAGATTTCTGCCAACCCAATAACTGATCTATAAAGCATTGGTGAACAATTTGTTAGCCATTGATAAAGACGTGTTTAAAATTCAAAAAGTCCTTTATAACAGGCTCGTTATTAGAAAGTGGTACCAAAAAAGCTTCACTGCCTTTTCCAATGAGAGCCTCCAGACGTTCCAGCTGTGTATGTGTTGCTGCTCAGCGTGCAGCCTGAAGCAGCAGAGAGACGGCAAAAAAACCTTTTGAGGGCTTTCATTAAAATCTAAAATCACTTTTCTTAATGATGAAGGGAGTCAGTTATTTAATTCCAGTAACAGGCCTACCCTCATTTCCTAAATTAATCTTTAACATTTTTTCTTTTTCATTTGAACAATTGTTATTTTTTGCTTCTTTTTCGTCACTCTCATGTGTTCCATCTTTTTTTCTAAAAAACTGAAATAAAAATTGCAACTGGAAAACAGGCAAAACAAACAAAGTTAAAGCAGGAGTTCCGATAATACAAATAAATACAAATGAAAGTAGCTTTTATGTTTAAAAAAGGGAAATTATGCTAAACCCTCCTCAACCCTTGATGATATTGTATGCACTGCACATTAACCAGCAGATTCTGGGGCTCAAACTACCACGTATCCTTATTTAGAGTAATGTGATGAATAACCAAAATCTCTTGAGGCCTCACTAGTGACAGTAAACTGACTGCTGGTTTTTACTGCTGTTGAATTTATCTGTTCATGTCCTGTTGCCACTGGCTCCATGGTCTTTGGTACCCCCCCGTGCCTTTTGTAATTCATGTTCTTGTACTTTAAACCGGTTTTGATACAACTGTGTGACTAATATGCCAAAATAATGACCTGTGATCTTTTTTTTTTTTATTTTCTTAAAGTCTCGTTATGCTCGTTAACTTAAAGGTCAGAGAGGAGAGTGGGGGGAACGTCATCAGGCTCAGACAATCTGTAAAAGATCAGATTTATAGTGATAATCTGCACAACACCTGACAGCCCCTGTAAGGCTGACACGTGGCTGTAAACAGTTTGATTTCATGTCAGTTAACAATGGATTCAAATGATCAACAGCTAGAGAAAATATCTAAACCTCTCCAACCACTGCTGCAACAGAGTGATCCATCCATATAATCAGCTATAAGTAAGGCAGTCCATCTTTCAGCTGAGCCAGCTGTCACATTGTTGCAAACATTCAGTTTAGAGACAAACAGCTGAACTTGCTGATGTTCGACCCTGCACTTCCTCTGCGTCCCTGTGCCACATGCTACGACTGTTTTCATTTCAAGGGAGTCCAAATGTTTCCCCTGCGTCGGACGCGATCTTTCAAACGATGTTGCGGCTTCTATCCGCGTGCACTCTGCCGTTAGCTCATCTGGGGATGCACAATGGCACAGATCGGCTACTGCTGCTCAACCAGACAGCGATTCAAAGCAGATTGAAGCGCAACACTCTTTGTGTGTAAATATCCCTGAATACATCAAAAGGCCAAATTGCTGTATGTTTATACTGTACCTCTATATATTTTCTATTTTACTATAAAAAGTGATTTTCTAGTCATTTACACATATTTAACTGTGTGGATTCTATTTGATAATTTTAGCCTGGAAATATTGATCATGTTTATAGTTTTAATGGAATGTTATCTCTTTTTATCTTTATGATTACAGTAGCAGCTTAATGTCTATACCTTTATCTCCAGCCATACACTGGTGCAGTATGTATATAGCAACAGGTTGAACAAACCCTGTTTATGATTTCAACTTGTTTCTTTTTCTTGGAGGAAAAAATAAAATGTTCTTGTTTAGACCCAAACTTATCCCTTAATTTATTTCCACACACTCTTGAACACATAAAGACACAGGATGAATGGGATTACAGATTTATCATGCTTTTATTTATACCGTAATACATTGTATTGCATTGTCTCCCCTGATCGACCTGTACATGATAGTAAAGACAAACTAAAGTTAAATAATCAATGCACAACCATGATAGGCTAACACAGATTAAGTCAAAACCAAAAATATATATTTCTGTATAATCATATTAATATTTGCCATTACACATTATACTGTAGCAGTCACATAAGATAAAGTGTATATAGTGCATTAAGAATAAACCTCGTTATGCAGTGATAATATGAGTGTCCACCCTGGGAGTATTTCATTTTATTTTTGACTATTTCTGTAAAACATGTCACTTTTCTCAAGCCTCCACACTCTGCATATAATATATAACTCTATATGAAGCACTTTCATCCAGTAACATGCCAATCAAAGCCTCACACATCATCATGTTTGCAGTGAGTGTGTTTACATGCACTCCTCAGCGGCTGGGTTTATATATATATATTTTTTTTTAGGATATAGATTTCTACTCTGTATCCTGTGCCCTGTGGGCTCTGGGTCCTTGTTTTCCAGCCATGATATTTTATGAATAAATGGCTTTTTGCTTAGACAGACCTACAAAGGGGTTATGGAGAATATATTTAGGTAGCTAGAACATAGACATGATGCTTTAGGCCTCGCTTTAAGCTGTAACATCAGTGTGATAGCAATTTTCACCCTCACAGTCTTAATCATTGGGATCACTGTACAGTCAGTGGATTCTGAGGGCTGTTTGACAGGCTTCCAGACTCAGAGGCAGCCTAAACTACATGAGGGTCAATAAGCATAAATGTCTCCAGACCTCCACCCTGAGCCGCAGGTGCTCCTGTAGGAGACTAGATTCCTGGGTGCATGTAAACACATTCAGAGTTCAGCATGTTACATTTCTTAAGTCACCAACATCCTGATTAAAAACAGATTTTTCTGATTACTGATAAATGAGTAGTTTATGGCAACAAATTCCACTGTTAACAAACCCCCCCCATCCTAGCTGTCAGAATGTTTAGTATTTTCTCAGTGTGCTCACTACCTGTCTTCACAGATGCTACAAATGCTTTTATAATCTGTTTCTATGGACATAAAGTAAAGCCACCAAAACTCACCAGAAACCTAAAGGGGCGGGGCCAAACAAGCACTTTCTGTGCTTTTCCATTTTAACTCTTTGTGAGTAACATGAACCCTCGTCAGCTCTCCCCTGTATTAATGTGTCTTTGATTATACACAAACATACTCAAACACATCTAAGAAAATCTTAATATGGCACACAGATAATGTTAGAATCAAAAGCAATAACATATATGGATTCCTGCACTGAGAGGATATTTTCTGTTGCTCCCCTACAGCTGCTGGGGATCCAGTGTCTTGAATTCAATTCAATTCAATTCAATTCAATTTTATTTGTATAGCGCCAATTCATAACAGAAGTTATCTCAGGACACTTTCCAAATAGAGCAGGTGTAGACCGAACTCCTTATAAGGACACTTCAGCAGTGTAGATGATGTCTGGCAAACCCAAATCAAGTCCTCTTGTCATCCCGACAGCCTGTGCTATAATGGCAACTTTCTCTAGCATACCCATGTGGTCTTATATGCCTTGTGTCAATATATGTCAATATGTATGGTAAATTCTCAAATAAAATAAAATAAATAAAAGCTAGGGAGCACACGCTGTCACTCGTATCTGTCAGTGGCTGTAAAGGAATTGAGCTTAATAAAACCACGGCATTGTACTTTCTCAAGCAACTGTTATGGAAACACAACATTTCTTTCTGTAATACAGGCCTGGTTCTCTCTTAAGTCCACTATTTGAGAATTTATGGCAAACATTTGTTAAATAACTAAATATTACATGATAACTTACATGAAAGCAAAGTTAAAATATATGTGGTCTTGTGCAATACACTGAGTGCAAATGCAAGTAATACAGGCAAGAAAATACTTTGTTTATATCTTTATATATAATATTTAATTTTGGGAAAATAGCTACATTCTCTACTTTACCTAAAATGCTACAGCACCAAACCTTCCACCCGTTTCAAGCATATGGTGAGAAACTGAAAGTAATCAGAATCTCTTTTTTTTTTTTCTTTTATTGTCACATTGCTGTAAAATCACTCGTGGAGATGAACTCCAGTCATAGACGAAAACCAGTTGATCTGCTTCGTAATTTCATTTAGAAAAATATTTCTCTCCGTAGGGAGACGCTGAGGTGCTTTGGAGCCTTCAAATGTGATGTTGTTTACGTTGTTATAATTACTATCAACACATAATGATTTATAACTCTTTAAAATGTTACATTTAGCACTTTTTAAAAGCAAGAGAGCTGCTTAAACATTTCTATAAGAAAGTAGATGCTGGTGCTCTTTTTTTTTTTTTTACTGTGAGACTCTTTCAAATGACGGAAACAAGTCCTCACTTTGGGAGATCAAGTCTGTTGTTAAAATATAATATCGAAGCATTGTATTAATATACACAAAGCTCCTTTAATTCACCTCTGAACACTGTGTGTGTGTGTGTGTGTGTGTGTGTGTGTGTGTGTGTGTGTGTGTGTGTGTGTGTGTGGGGGAGAGAGTGAGAGTGTGTGTACTCCTACAGGCCATGCAGATCCTTCCTCTTCATGTCAGCAACCTTAATTTCCCTGACAACCCTGTTGGACACAGAGGAGGAATTAGACAGCAGAAGGAGGCACTGTGTGTGTGTGTGTGTGTGTGTGTGTGTGTGTGTGTGTGCGTGTGTGCGCGTGTGCGTGTGTGCGCGTGCGCGTGTGTAAGTGAGTGTGTGTCCTTACAGAGTTGGTTCGTTTGCGTTTCCAGCAGTCTGGGTTGAGTCTTTTCTGTTCGTCTGCGAGGGCTTTGGCCTGTACGGTGAACGCCCGCCGCTCCTCAGTTCGCATCTTCTTCCACCGCTCACCAAGGAGGACGCTGATCGCTCTAAAACACACACACACACATTACTTTATAATAAACACTGATACACACACCACAGCTTCACATCACACATGTAATCACACCCACCTGTTGTCCTTGCCCGGGTACATTTGTGTGTACTCAACCCTGAACTTCTTGGCAAACAGCATGAAGGCGTTCATTGGCCGCTTGCACTTGGTGGGCGTGGCATTACTACTTCCTGCTGTGCTGGCATTCTGGCTTTTGGTTGGCTTTTGACGAGGAGAATGGGAGTGACCGGGACTGTGGGCGTCTGCAGGTTTTAAACACATCCACAATTGTTCTTTTATGAAACGCATCCTCGACCCTTGCTCGTGTGTTTTTGTACGGTGTGTTTCTGGATATTACAAACTGAATTATTCTTAATGTTTCTAATTACTCACACAGTGGACAATGTCTCAAAATGTGGGAGATTTGAAGCACAGTACCTTGTGGTGTGTCTCTGTCTGGAGAAGCAGCTCCCCCGCTGGACTGGGAGGCTCGCCGCCGTCTGGCCATACTGCTCAACACGTAAACCGCAGAAGAATCCAGAGGAGTGAAATCGTAACTGAGGAAGACACACACATATAGAAACAGACGTTACACACACACACTAACTAACCTGTTGCTTTAGGTTCAGAACAGCATACGGTTATCACATGTATTGTATGTTTACTGGAGCATTATACCATAAGGTACATTTTACCTCCTGAATGTGTCAAACACCAGTGAGTCGTCGGTGTGTTTGGCATCTCTGTGTCCTGGAGGAAGGCACACACCTCCCACCTCCATTTCATAGCACGGTATCCCATGACGCACCACGGTCAAGCTCGGGTAAAATGACGACCAGCCTAACAGGAAGTGAGCCAGAGTGTAAGGAAGTGGATATAATCAGAGTTTTGAACAGTTCTAGCGTTTTCTCACCATCACTCCTACCTCTGTTTTTGATGTAGAAGGGGTGATGAAGTTGGCACCGGGCGGTCAGGGGGGCATGTCCGAATGCCCCGGGGTCAAAGGTCAGCTGTAGGACAGCCTGACCAGACAACACGATCTCTGAATGCTCCACCAGCTGCAGACCCTCAGAACCATAACTCTGCAGAAGAGCATGCAGTGTTTGTTCTTTTGGTGGACCATTGCTTATTGTTGCATACATAGACTGCGAGCAGAACTACCTACCTTCTAAGTCTTTCATTTAGTTAAAGCCCCTACATTTTGTGTTGATTCTGGCACCGCATGTGGACACAATGTTTCCACCAACACAGTGGCGTGCATTAAGAATAACTAAATACAAATAGCCAAACTTCTCTGTGATGGTCTTGTTTGTTTATGTAGGTCATATTGAGGCATCAGTATTAATTTGAGACTAACTAACTATTTAAAAACTCCTTGTAGTAAATTATTCAGATTGCTGCTGCTGCAATTGTTAAAAATACATTAACACTGAGCCAAACTGACAAAGACCACATAACGCTACAGACAGAGACTTAAATCAAAAAGTACACTGTGAACTCAGAGACCTGACAGTCGAACTGCAGCCACAAGCTTCTTGCATAATGTACCTTCAGAGATCTGGATTGCTCCTCATCGCCAGAGTCTTCCTCAGCAGAGTCCAGGTCCTCCACGTCCTGCCACTCCACATTAGAGCCGGTGTGGAAGCGCAGATGAGTGCCTGGTGACAGAATAGCTGCCCTGAGATAACAGCTTAGAATAAAATCTCATCATCAAGTTGCCCTGTGTATGCCTGTACGTGAGAGTGTGTGTGTGTGTGTGTGTGTGTGTACCTTTGAGAAAGCAGTGCCAGGCCGTGGGGGGCCAGGAGAAGCTCCAGCCCATGTCTTCGTCATCAGACAGAGAGGATCTGGTTGACACTGCAGACCCACATTCACTGCTCTTCTGTTGAAACATAAAGCAACAGCATCGTCAGGCACGACTGGGAAATAAACAGAGCCAAGAGCTGTCGGTTTGTCCTCCAAACAAACTGCAAACACACAGCTTTTCTAATGCACAGGGTCAGAGGCCAATCAGTTTTAATACGTGAAAGATCATAAAATACTTTTATTTGTATTTGTTGACAGTATTTAATGACGGTGAGTGATGACGAAGCAGGTAAACGTGAGCTCTACCCTGCTGCGCCGACGCTCCCTGCCGTGACCTCTGGGGGGTGACGAGGTGCCGCTGGGGAGAGGGGGAGGAGGCCGAGCGTAGGAATGTAGATTACAGCTGGTGCTGGAGAGACAGACCGGAGAGGAACTGAAAATGACAGAGGCTCATTAGTTGCACGCATTGAGTTGTAGCAGCTAGTAAAGGACAGGAAGTCCTCTGTAGGGCGGATGGCACATTTAGAAGAAGTGGTGTTCCTGTAATACTGAAGCTTATAATACTCCTTAAAGTTCATGTTGTTCACTGTGATTCAGCGCTGCATGTTTGTGAATATTAATTCTCATTTTGGTATGATTAAAAGCAAGGCCGGAGCTACCACTGAGTTAGTAGTGTCTCTGTTAAATGCTTTACATTCAACAATAACATACAAATGACACATTTTGAGCTTGATTCTGATGTTTTTTTAAAAGTCAACATTCTTAAATTTGACAATTTAAGTTACAGTGACGGTTTTAGTCCTCCACTGGCTTTATATTCCTGTCTTTGAGGGGCAGGATTTGAAACTGCATTGTCAAACAGAATTCTGTAGAGATAAATTGTACAAAACATATATTTGAACAGTTCAATGAATTTATTTGGGCTGGTGATATACCGGGGCCTTTGTAGACTCTGGAAATCCTAGCTACGGCCCTGCTCGCTACTTATTTGGTTTATTTAGATCAGTAACATGGTTACGCAGCTACCTGCTGTGAGGAGACTCCTGCAGCAGTGGGCTCTGGGGTCCCGTGGCGATGTGAGCCAGCTGCGTCAGCCAGTGTGTGTCGGGAAGCTGCGCGTGTGCATGTCGCTCCTGGTGCGACACACCCACGTCTACCTGGTAGACGGGTGGCGCTGTTGGCTCCGCCTCCTCTTGAACCTCCTGCAGGTCTGGGAGGTCGTCTAGGAGGAGGAGAAGACAGGCACTAGCTGAAAAAGTCTGACTGATTTGAGAAACGTGAAGCCCACATGCGTTACTCATCCATCCGCTGTACCGTATTCCATGTAACTGTCACTGGTGGGGAAGCCGGGTGAGGAGGGGAGGCGTTCCTCACAGCACAGCAGGTCAAGTGATTGGTCTCCGTCTGCAGCCATCATCACTCCTGAAGGTAAGACCGCACAAACAACAGGAGGTCAAAGTTTAATTTCCCAGCAACTTTACATTTGTTCATTGTTTAACGTAGCCTGTAGAACAACTCGTCATGTTAGATTTACAGAGTGATTTACTGAGTAGAACTACAAAGTCTGAGTATTAAAGTATGAACAGTTCTAGTAAAACACATTTATGAATAGAATAAGAAAAACTTACATATCAATCCATCAATTATTAGTCCATTGCCATTCTTATCAATATATTGATATTTTCATTCTATTTATTCATCACCTATGATTTGCAACGATGCGTCGACTAACTGAATAGTCCATCGACAGAAAAATAATTGACAACTATTACTACCAGCAGAAAAAAAAGAGTTCCTGACTGTTTTATATCATATTAAACTGAATATCTTTGGATTTAGGACTGACAAAATAAGACATTTAAAAATATCACACTGGACTTTGGAAACTTGGATGGACATTTTTCACTATTTTCTAACTTCTTCTTTCTTTATAGACCAAATGATTAATTTATTAATCTAGAAAATAATCAGCAGATTAATCAACAATGAAAATAATCATAAGTTGCCAACATAACTATTAGTATATCATTGGAAATAAGGATGCAAACAGCTTTCCCAATTTGACAGATTTGTCTGGCGGTTGGTTGGTTGCTAGTTACTGGGACACTCCACTGATTTTACACACATTAACATCAGTTTACTCAGCTGTCTAATGTCTTTGTAACTCCGGAGCCTGGGCCTGGAAACTACACATTTTAATGGAGGTGCTGTAGATTAATGCAGGGTCCAATTTAAAACAAATCTAGACTCTTGGTTAGAATCCAAAGACTGCATATCTCATCTTCTGCTGCTTTTATTTTGACCATCTGTCTCTGGTGAGTCAACCAACAGCTGCAACACTAAATCACTGTAAGAGTATTGTGTCAGTAATTACACAGTACAGCCGCAGGTGAACTGGGAGGTCCACTGCTCTGTGGTTACCTGTGTGTTCACCCTGAGTCTCAGAATCCCGCACATTCTGATGTTTGGGGTCGCTGGACAGCACGGCCGGGGTCACCACCTCCCAAACCATGATGCCAACGGTCACTGAAACATGCAGACAGCTGAATAAATGTATAATCTAACAGCCCGCAAGTATGTCTTTACCAGCATTATAATAATTTCTTTAATGTAAATATTCAAAATAAAGGATATAAGAAATATATGTAGTAAATATCACCTACAGTACAGGTAACTACTGGCATCAGTATCAGCATTAGCCATATTACGGGAACCCAGGGGTCAAGCGTACACACACACACACACATACAGAGAAACTTAATCCTTCACTGAGCTGTAATGTATAGGCTATAAATGGTTGAGGTGGCATGGGGTAACACTGAGCTGCCATTACCTAATAACACACCTATGTTTAGACACATTCATGCTCCATTATATTTACCACTGAAGTATTTAATGGAGGTTTATGAATCTAATTGGATATAAACCTGTAAACATGATAAGAGTATGTTTATCTCATCTATTTCGCAATATTCTCGTCATGTGACTCCCTCCCCTTGTTTATAAACTTTTGAGATCCTGCACGCATGCGCACAAAAAGCCCATTCATTCAATACTGAGAAAGGCAGCGATAATACATTTCCAGTAAGTAGTTTAAAAGGAGTCAAAAGCACGACATTAACCGCACAGTACAGACTAACTATTGAGCCACTGCCGGCTGCTGTTACATGCTACAGGTGTCTGTGTGTCGAAGCGTCGGTAAAGTTCAGACGAAGCAGCGTTTTATCTACTGACGAAACAAAAGTGCCGTTGAAATACTGAAGTTACGTCGACGAAAACGAAAGAAAACCCGTCGCCGTCTGTATTTTAACGAACAAGTTAACGATATTAATGAGATTCGCGGTGTCCAAATATGTTTAAACACATTAAAATGGACGAGCAGTCCTATTGCGTAAAGGCAACAAAACAACTAACGTCAACAATGAAGCTTTACGGAGAGCAGCGAAACTGCATTTACGGCAGAAAATAAACGTTGACAGTTTCACGTTATTGCTCCTGAGCCAAGTTCAGGGGGAAATCATTCAAATTGTGTAATCACATCTCAAATTCGACGCTTTAAAAGCCATAAATGATTTCAATGAACTTTCCTTAACTCACCAAAACAGTCGCCTTGTACGGGAAAGGGGGCTGGTATAAACACATTTCCCCCGGCGATCCTATTGGTCAGACGTCATGTCAATCTACTGCTTCTCTCATCCTCATTGGTCAGTTCAACGCAGACTTGTTCTCTTCATTCCCATCACCACAACAATAAAACATTGGGTGGGTTAACATGATGAAAGATGGCTGAACCAAAAGTAGCTCAAATGACAATTACCAAACGTGTAATCTGCTGTATACTGAATATATATTATTTTAAACAGAATGACCGTGGTTTGAACGTAGTGAGACAACAAGATTGGTAGAAAGTATTATCTCTCAGTCTCACATTGTGGCAAGATCATGTAATGGCAATTTAAAGAACTGACATGTTCATAGCACAATATTCACTCTTTGGCCTGATTTAAAGACTGAGGGCTTGTTAAGGGTGTAATGATATGATATGATAAAACAGAGTATAAACATGAGATTATGTAAGTTTGAGAACATGGACAATTCTAAGTATGAATGTTGTTGATCAGCAGCATACAAATAGCCTTAAGCTCAGTTGTCATATATCCAGCACAACTAGACCAACAGGTAATTTCAGCAAAGTAACCTGGTCACAGACAGTGTCCGACACATGTTTGTACGCCTTGTATAAAACCCTTAATATCCCTAAGTACACTCTTCACTCTGTAATTGTAAATGTTTCACAGCTGCACGTAGGAAATGGTGCGTCAGAGGTTAGTCAGAGGTGGTGTAGCCAAAAACTACTCAGGTAAAAGACTAATGTTACTTTATTACAACAAGTACTCAAGAAATAAAAGTATATAGTGTATATGTATAGTTCAGCAAAAATAGTAAAAACAAAGTACTTTATTGCAAAATATGTATTTGCATGATGAGTAACTTTATGAGTAAATTCAGATTTAAATACAAAGGGACAAAATTCCCAGTTATTACAAGTGTGATCACAGTTTAACATGTAAATGTAACATCAATACAAGTACGCCAGCAAGTAGGCATGTTTAAATAGCATACTATAATGTTTGCTATTCTATTGATTTGCTAAATAAATCAGTAAATCAAATATGTATTTATAATACAACTATTATGTCAAAAAGGGAAAGTGAAAGTGTCAACAAGTCCCAGTGTCCTTATACTTTGAGATAATCCCAAAAACAATTCAGCACACCTGACAAATCAAGTCTTAAATCTTTAATATCTGTAAGGGTTTAAGTAAACAGGGCTGGCTGAACTAAAGATGGGCCAAAGTGCCACATCAGAGACTTTATATCTTTATATGAGAATGAACAAATCATTATTCGTGTGATTATTTCAAATATAAAGAGTAACACCAGTGTGGTGTTTAAAAAACAGTTCTCTGTTGTGGAGAGCTTGCCAACGTGTTAGAAAGTTATGTTATAATATGTAGCATCGTGAGTGTTTACTGCCATCCAGTGGCCACCGCGAGGTACTGCACGACGACAGGACGTGAAGGTTGATAGGATTATATAACAACGTCCGTTTTATACTTTCGAAATAAACAATAAATAATAAAATAAAAACTAATGAATAAACATCAATACCTTCTGTTACATACACTTTGAAGTCCAACTGACGACCCAGAAAAATTAAATGTTTCTATTATCTGTCTACTCTTCTTAAAAAACGTTTTTAGAGCCGCGGTACGTGGTTTACTTTGAAGAGAAAACCGGAAGTCTTGCTCCTGTTCTGGTTGGTAGAAGTTAGCCGGTGAGCTTGACACTTCCCGGGTAGAAGCGCAGCATTTCCTTAATGCGGACTTTGTCTGCAGTTTAAAAACTATTTTTCGCTATAGTCTCTGGTCTCTTCATGTAGCATAAATGCCGAAACTTTCGCCCAAAGCTCCGGGTTTCGTTGCCGTCTGCGTTTATTGGTGAGTCACAAAAAAAAAAACTTTATGTGCTTGTTTGACAAGAATTGACGCATCTGTTCCGATTATTATGGCAGCTGTAGTACCGTTACACTGACCGCAGACCAACCCAGCTCCGCTATGTCTGCTCGTTAAAGTGTGATTCAGTGCTCGCTGGGTTGTCACTGTCCGCTTTAACTGCGGAAACAGACATTACTTACGGCTGTAACGCAGTGGTTACAGCGGCAGACTGACTTTCTGTGTGCACAGACTGTTTCATCCATGCTGGCTCGAGTTTTTGCTTCCTGCTTTTCAAAACTTCCTCTGCTGATGTGAAAGAAGCAGAAGGGAAACTCCAGCCAGTTCATCCTGTGACCTCAGCCACTGCAGTCAATTCACAATTATCATCATGAGTTCATTATTATCATTCTTATATCATCAATATCATTTATTTTTCTACTTATTTCAAGTTATTATATTGTATTATTATTATTATTATTACTATTATAGATATTATTTTCTTACTAATTTATATATTTTACACTTGCTTTGGCCATGTTGTTTACCATGCCAATAAAACCCCTTTGAATTTATTTTTAGGATTTGTTGTAGAAATGAAATTAGAGATTTTCCTACACTTTAGTCCTGTAAGATCTTTATTGGGTTGCCATCTTTGTTTTAGACAAAAACAATAAGAGACTATTGCTCTGCATTGGTCAGGAGGTCCAATGGAGGTGGACAGTCTCAGTCAACAAAACAGCTGTTTAGTTTCTTCTTATATTGTAGTAAAATGACAAATTCTAAATTTCTTAAAAGTCTATTATAACAACTTCTAATTCATAAACAGTCCACATCTTTATCACTGTCACTGCTAGCTGCAGTTTAAATCTGAAACAATTAGTGGGTTGATCGACAAGATGATTGATATAAATTAATATTAAAACATGTATAAAATTGATTAATTATCAGAGTAATTTTAAGCAAAAAATGTCAATCATTCTTTGGTTCCAGTGTCTCAGAATGTGAGGATTTTCTGCTTTTCTGTGTAACATATTGTATTAAACAGAACATCTTTCTCTGCGAGTCGAACGGCTGTAAACTGAAGTCTTAAAATGACAAACATACATCACAGTTGTAACACACTAACTTTTTCACACTGTGTGATTCTACTATTACATTTGACAACTGCTGTCAGAAACAGGAAACAGAACCTTTTAACAGAATCGTAAATTACTTCACTTACTTATTTGTATCACTTGCGCCTTTAATGCATTGTCTCAATGAATGAATCTCAGGAGGCTTTCACAGTGGGTGCACTAGGAGTTTCTGCCTCGCTTCATTTGCTCAAATTGTAATTCTGCAGTGCAAGGTGTCAACAGGGTCCTTAAAAACCTTAAATCCAATTATTTAAGGCCTATAATAATTTTAGGCCTTAAAATGTCTTAAATGTGATTTTAAAAGGACTTAAAAGTGTATTAGATTAATAAAGTTAACATTACTTGTTCTTAAGTTGCATTCATAATAGTCTTAAAAAGGTCTTAAAAAGTCTTATATTTACCTTAAATCTATCTTAAAGCTACCTTGTGACTGAAGGTAATAAACAATGAAACATACATATAACTGGTATTCCAAATATCTACCTCTATCAATATATCAGTTTATCTGTGATTTATTTGCATTACTGTCTCTCCTTTGATGATCCTGCCTCTAAAGGACTATGAGATATATACACAATGACAGCATCGGAGTATTCTGTCTTTCTGTTCCTGTGCGTCTTTCGTCCCCCTCAAGCTAGGCGATGGACGGGAAGCAGATCCAGGTGAGCGACGAAGAGCCCAGAGTCCTGCGAGAAGAGAACCGGAGGAGGAGACGAAAGAAGGCCATCACCTCGTCTTCCTCCAGCTCCATGGATCAGATCGCTGTGGAGTTTGTCCTGCCCACCACGGCGCGGGGCGGAAACAGCCCCGACACTCTGCAGCTGGAGGTGGCTGGAAACTGGACGGTGGAGCAGGTCACCTGACGTACTGATGCTGTTAAAATGGCACTCGTAGTGGCTTTGAACATGCATCATATTGATATTTCTTGTCTTCCAGGTGAAAGCTCAGGTGTGGCTGAAGGCGGTGACTTTGAACCTCTGTCCTGACTTCTACCAGCGGCTCTCACCCGACCACTGCATCCTGCTCTACCAGAAGAAAGGCAACGTGTGTGAGATCTACGACAAGCACCAGGTCTTTCAGACACTGGACTGCATTCGCTACTGGAGAGGTACCGACCGGTGACACAATGTGGAGTCAGAAACAACAAGTTATTACATTCTGATTATGTCAAACTCACCTGTTGTGTTTTAAAAGCCCTGAAGAAAGATGTAGGCCGGATCCAGATGGTTCCCCGTCCGCAGCCCTCGGACGAGTCCCTGCAGTACCAGCGCTACCTCAACTACCTGATTGGCTACGACGTGACGGATGTCAGCAACGTGCACGACGACGAGCTGGAGTTCACCCGCAGGAAGCTGCTGACGCCGCGGCGCATCGAGCTGTCCGACCGTGACCCAAAGCTCTACTCCATGGACCCCTGGGTGACCCGCAAGCCACTACCTGAGCACCTGCTTAGCAAGGTGTGTGTGTAGGTTGATTGATTTTATTATGTGAATGATCAGTTCCAAAAGGTATTCTCTGCTGTTACCGCTTATATAGAATAAAATCTTGGGCATAAAAAATCCTTTCATTCCTTCGTTCCTCCTTTCAGGTCGGCAACGGTAACATCCTGGTAGTGATCCACATCGGCACGGCCAGCCAGACCATCAAGGTCTCCATCGATGACCCACCAGCGCAGGTAGTTGAACAGCATTGATGAGTACGACTTTCTGTTCTGTTACTGTTCCACTTTCTAACAATTATCTGTCTTGTTTAGGTGTTGGCAAGTTTTTTCACAAAGACGGCCAATAAGAGAGCTTTGTTGGGCATTCCTGAAAACATGTGTGAGGAAGACTTTGTGATGCGTGTGTGTGGAAGGTATGTCAGATACTAAAACACATCAATCCTACCATCGCTACTTATACATGGAGCCAAAGTGATCAAGTTTGCATTGAAAGTAGAAGAGTGATTCACTGGATTGTATCATTGAGGGTAGTTTCATTCATATTTTATGTTCACACAGGGAGGAGTACCTGTACGGGGATAAACCGCTGCAGAACTTCAACTGGATCCGTCAGTGTCTGAAGAACGGCGAGGAAATCCACCTGGTTCTGGAGTCCCCACCTGATCCCGAGCTGGATCTGGTCCAGAAGGAGGACTGGGCACAAGTAGATGACTGCACCGGAGTCGCGGGTAAATTAACAGAAGTGTTTGTGTGTGTATTTAAGGATGCATCAAGTCCAATTCATTGAGACGTGGTCGACCTGTCTGTCTTTTAGTGGTAATAATTCTCCTCCTAACCTTTCTTTGTCAGGTACCCATGAGCAGTTGACCATTGATGAGAAGGACCATGAACGGGTATTCACCATCTCCATGTGGGACTGTAATAGGAAGTTCAGAGTGAAGGTGCTGGGTATCGACATCCCATCCCTCCCCAAAATCCCAGAGTTCATTGTCTTCATAGAGGCCAGCATCTTCCACGGCCAGCAGCTTCTAGCCCAGGTACGGTAGTCCAAGCACACAAAAGCTAGGGCTGCTAAAACCATTAGGCAGGATGTTTCTTCTTTTAGTTTAGAAGAACATAAAGTCCCAACGGCTCACTGTGGCTGCTTCTTCTTGTTACATTACACTGCTCTAACCTCAGTGAGAAATACATTGCATTTCCTTTGACAGCTTCACAATAAAAGCCGAGTTGAATGCTTTTGATGTGATCTCTTTGCTATGTCTGTAAGAGTGAACAGTGAGGCTAAAATCAGTGAGATAATATGAACACTGTGTCACATGCTGCACCGTTTCCTGTGAGTCTTTTGTGTGTGAAGGTTTTTGTATACCGCAGGATACTGGCGGACTCCGCCACTAACAATGAAAAACACTATAAAGAGAGTATTTAAATACATAAAATAGATATTGCTCAAAAAATGGCAACCATAAATTTTAAATTAATGTGAGCTGGATTTTGTTTTTTTAACCAACAATTTCAGGAAGCACTTTTTTTCCCGAAAAAATGCGTAAATAGCAGGTTTTGGACAACCGAGATAGCAGAGTTTAACCCTGCCCTTACTCCCTCAGGAGAGGACGTCCTCTAAATCCTTCAATGAAGAAGTGCTGTGGAACTGCTGGCTGGAGTTTAACATTAAGATCAAGGATCTGCCTAAAGGAGCCCGCCTCAACCTCCAGGTAAACATTTAATCTGTGATCATTGTTGTCAGTCTCCTAATATATATATTTTTTGACAGAATAAAATAGTAGTATTACTGCTCTGCCCTATTTGTCCCACCCAGGTGGTTTGTGGGAAGCAGCCCCAGACGCCAAACTCCAAGGGAGGCTCTACCTACCAGGATAATACAGCAGTAACAGGCAGCCATGATGGTAAGGTCTAATAACATTTGCCTACTTCATCATGTTGACAGTTGTTAGAGCAAGGCCCACGTCTGTCTGTCTGTCCATCTTTCAGGAAAGACCAAGAGCCGCCTTTTGTACTACGTCAACCTGCTGCTGATCGACCACCGCTCCCTGCTCCGCCAGGGCGAGTTCATACTCCACATGTGGAAAATGCCGGAGAAGAGCGAGGAGAGCAGCAGCAGCATCAACGCCGACAAGCTAACCTCAGCCACCAACCCGGACAAGGCCTCCACCATGGCCATCGCCATTTTACTGGACAAGTATTGCTACCCCGTGGTGCTGCCCAAGAGTCGCGACGTGGGCCGGGACATCGGGGCTGGGGGCGAGGAGGCCGAGGGTGGGGAGCGAGGTCAGAGAGAGATGCCAAACCACCTAAAGAAGCAGTTTGCGGCTATCGTGGCTACAGACCCCCTGCATCCCCTCAGTCCTGAGGACAAAGAGCTTCTCTGGCACTTCAGGCATGAGTGTATGCGCGACCCCAGGTACTTATTTTATTTTATTCCAAAGAAAATGTACAACAGAGTGTTACATCATTATGCTCTTATTAAAATTTGTCCCCCGATTCCTTGTCTTCAGGGCCTACCCAAAGCTTCTGGGCTCAGTCAGGTGGGGGAAACAGGAAGATGTTTTAGCAACACACCGTCTGTTGGAGCGCAGCAGTGCGTGGGACAGCAGGTAAAAGGGCTTTCCCACTGCCGCTATATATATCTGTCCACGGTAGGTTGAATGTCCCATCACCTGTCATCATGTTGTCCCTGTTCAGTGGTCTGGACGTTGGTCTGGCCATGCAGCTGCTGGACTGTCACTACTCAGACGCTCAGGTTCGCTCTATGGCTGTCAGGAAATTGGAGACTCTGGGAGATGATGATGTGCTCAGGTACCTCCTGCAGCTTGTACAGGTGTGTTGTGTATTTTCCATTCTTTTCTATTTGTTTTTATATGCTCCATTTCTGCATTATAAAAAGGAAGAATGTATGAATATGCAAATATTCCTGTTGGACACAAGATGTCTCCTACTACACTGTCCATTCTCAGTGTTTGTGCGCTGGTGGCTTCGAGTCTCTACATTACACTGTAAAGGTTGCATACTGGACCAGGCTGGCTGGCTTACAGAACAGTGCTTCTTCCAGTAACTCACTGGACTTGCACTCATCTCACAAGCTCATGAAAAGAGGCGGCTCAGCAGATACACACTGCGTGTTTGTCCTCTGATGGGTTTCCATAGTGACACTGTGGTCTACTTTGCATGAGTAATATGAATTATCAGCCGAGGCCAACAAAGGGCTCTTTGGTCTGATAGGAAAATGACTCCTACCTTCACAGATACTGTTGTCTCTGTATCCAGTGAACTTGTGGAGGGTTTCTTTCCAATGCACATTCTGATATGTTAATATGAAATGCTAAATACTGTACACATAGAGAAATAATGCTGATTGAGATCCAAAAAGGCAAAGGTTTTACACTGACAGGCTGTTCAGGTGTCATTCTAAATGGTCTGTATGTTTCAACTAAACAATGTACAAGCAAACACAGAACAAAATGAATTTAAGGACACTGATGATGGTGTAGATATTTTAGGACACTTAGCATTTCTTATTCATTCTGACATACAATAGAAAGAGAAAAAACATTCTGGTGATACATTTTCTCAATAGTTTTCTCTACTCCTTAGTTGTCTGTTTTCAACCTGTTCTCAAGTCATAAACACAGGAGAGAAAACAACTTAACAAGAATGATTTTTCTCACCTGCCTCTGAGTGCTTCTGTAATAGACTTAATGACTCACTGAATTTAATGAGATAATAATTTGAAGGTAATATTAAAGTCATTCAATCCGAAAAGTAAGTGATGGATTCATTGATAATACAAATAGTTTGCAATTGCATCCCTATTCTATAATAGAGTTTCATTCAGGACATAATGTTATAGTGCAGTAAAATGTTTGTTTATTAGATCGTGATCATTATTTGTCTTCACCTCCGACCTGCTGAACCACTCTCTGCTTCCTACATTTTAACATCTGAATGACAGTCTTGTGTGAGCACAGTGAGCTCTGTGTTTTCACTGCCCTTCTTTTATTCCCACAGTCCACCTTCAGCCTCGTGACCTCTGACCTCAGTCTAGATTTTGTCCCCCAAAGCCTTAACACACCACTGCTTGGTCACAACTCCTCAGGATTAAATCAGAATTGACAAAAAGCCAAATGTTGTCCTATTGTTACAGCTTTTTAAAGGAAAACATTTTCAGATTTCCACCCTGTGGTTTGGAGTGTGTACAAAGGGGTTTCCCATGACAGAACAGAAATAGAAAACATGTGTATGCATGAATGTGCGTCTGCCGAAACTTGAAAATCCTGTTATTTAAGCTACATTGCTTGTGTGTGTCTCCTGCAGGCGGTCAAGTTTGAGCCTTACCATGACAGCGCCCTGGTCAGGTTCCTGCTGAAGAGAGCTCTGAGGGTACGTGGTACCAACATCTGTATCTGTTTCTCCCACTGTCTGACAGTGTCTGTCTGTGTGTTTAATTTGAACATTTACATGGATTAATGTTACAATAATCATACAGTGTTACTGTCTCTCCAGCAGTAGAAAGATACCTGTATGCACAGGTTGACATTTACACTTAATTAAAGTCAGTCTTTCCTCTTTTTTTTGTATTCTCCCCACAGAGTAAGCGTATAGGTCATTTTCTCTTCTGGTTCCTGCGCAGTGAGATTGCCCAGTCCATGCATTACCAGCAGAGGTATGCTGTCCTGCTGGAGGCCTACCTGAGAGGCTGTGGTGAGGACATGCTGCAGGACTTCAGGAAACAGGTGAGCAGTAGGTCATGTATCCTACATAAAATGGTGTGTGTAGATTCAGAATCACTGAGGTGTAAAATGCTTCAGTCTTGCCTTGTCTTATCACAACAAACTCCTAATTAGATGGTGACTGATGGCTGACAGCCAGCTAAATTTGGCAGTATTTTAGACTATATAGAGTCAGCTATATCTGTGAGTAACTTACACCATGCTCTCCAGGTGGAGATGACTGAGGCTCTGCAGAAAGTCACCCGTGACATCAAGGCCATGTCTGCTGATAAGTATGACGTCACTGCACAAGGTGAGTGCCGGCAATATTCAGTTCCTATGATGAAATTCTATGCTTTCTGGGTTCTGTTAGCTTTGTGTATTTACTTTAACATTCAGATTTCTTAATGAGACTGAACATTTAATTTGTCCATTCAGATTTATTGAAGTGGGGTTGTACTTTATGAGGTACTTATCCATAGTCAGTGTAGACGGAGGTCGTCACTGCCTAAATTTGGAGAAGCAGACAGGATTACGAGCATGGGAGCTAAACAATGCACTGCTGTGGACAGGGACAGCAACAAACCATATCACCTATCACCTAACAAAACCAATATCAGTGTGTATGCTATATTTAGAATGTTTTCAACGCTTTACCCTACTGCCAGACAGCCTTTCCAACAGGAAAGTGTTTACATTGTTGTGTTTATATTGCTTTCTCCAAAGCCACCAGGCTACTTTGACAAAAATTGTAATTTTACCTCGCAGCACACAGTAGTTGCTGGTCTACTGCTGCATCGATCCACTAACAACTAACGTTAGCTTGGTTCCGAATTTAGGTGTTAACACCGACATCACACAATTACACAAACAAACTAACCCATTAGGGCAGTGGCGGACCAGAAACTGCAAGGTAAAATCATTCTTTTTAACAATGAAGTCTGGTTGCTTTGTAGAGAGCATAGATCGATATAAATGCTTCAGTTTCTCATCAGAAAGGGCTGTCTGACGGCAAGGCAAAGCGGGAAATATACTTAATATAGTGTACACTTAACTGAGCACAATCCGAACAAAACCTAACAATCAAAGATTCAGTCCAACATTATCCACTACAGCGTCTTTCACACGTGCTAATGGTCACTACTACTGCTGCAGCTACTCAATCTCAGACAGTAAACTCGTTGTTTTGATGTACACTTTATTAAACTCTATAACGTGCATGAGGTCCTGCCTTAAATATAGCAAAAGGAAAACACCATAAGAACAAAACTGACATTTAGTAGCAGTAGTGTGTGAAACTATTTAATCGACTGTGGTTTAAAGATAATACATATGTCCAAGCAGTGAAACTAACGCTGTGTGTGTGTGTGTGTGTGTGTGTGTGTGTGTGTGTGTGTGTGTGTGTGTGTGTGTGTGTGTGTGTGTGTGTGTGTGTGTGTGTGTGCTGTCAGTGGTGTTTCAGTTGCGTCAAAAGCTGGAGGCTCTGCAGTTGTCCGGCCTACCCAAGAGTTTCCGAGTTCCTTATGATCCTGGACTCAGAGCTGGAGCCCTGGTGGTGAGGGACAAACACACACACACACTGGCAGTGGAGACAATCATACACACTTATTTCTTAGCTGCCTGCAATAAGACAGTATATAATAACCAATTTATAAAAGTAGTTTTGCAAGTGAAATAAACAAAAATGAAATGTGGATGTGAACATTAATGTCACTGAAGATAAATACTGTTTGTGTACGTTCAGATTGAGCAGTGTAAAGTGATGGCGTCTAAGAAGAAGCCGCTGTGGCTGCAGTTTAAAAGGGCCGACCCCACCACTCTGTCCAAAGACCCCATTGGCATAATCTTCAAAGACGGCGATGACCTCAGACAGGACATGCTCATCCTGCAGGTGAGCGGCAGCACAGTCTGACATTAGAGACTTTTTCAAAACAAGTTTTAATGTCTTCTGGGTGTAGTCTGATGAGTTATTTTTTCTATAGCTCATAATTGAGGTAGATTGGAGTGGGCCTTCTTGTTTCTGTTTTCAGGTATCAAATGACTGAAGAAAGACTCTTAGAAAGATTCTTTTTACTTAGTTTCCTCTCGTGTCCCTTCAGATCCTGCTGATCATGGAGTCGATCTGGGAGACTGAATCCCTGGACCTCTGTCTGTTACCATACGGCTGCATCTCCACCGGAAACAGAATAGGTTTGTTATTCAACCGGACCGATACGGAAAATCAGCCGTTCTGTGGTAGTTACCCCCTCCCTTTCGTCTTTACCGTTGCATTGCAGGTATGATTGAGATTGTGAAGGACGCCACCACCATCGCTAACATCCAGCAGAGTGTTGTAGGAAGCACCGGAGCTTTTAAAGATGAAATCCTTTATCAGTGGCTCCGGGACAAGTGTGTCAGTGAGGACAAGGTACGCATCAGATTCAGCATGCAAATAATTATTATATGGACTATATCAAGATTCTTAGGAACAGAAACACCTCACTTCTCACTTCTCCAGCGCACCCATCCAACCAGCTGAAAACAAACATTCCTCTGTTATCCTCTCAGTAAGAAGTAAACCTGTCTCTTAGAGCTGGAATGTTATGGATTCAGTGTTTTGTCTCCAGCAGCTGCTCTGTTTTTCAGACGTTACAGGAAGTCGCAGTCTAGCTGTCAGGAAGGAAGTAACCCTCAGGCGCAGACACGCACTACTTTTAGCCGTGACACCTGCACCCCGAGAGTCCCTATCTTGTTTTTGTTAAATGTTCCTGCTCTGCATCGTCTTTTAGCTTTTATTCAGAAGGAATTGTGACTCCACGCGGTGCTTTAGTATTATTTTTGTCTAGTCCATCATAGAAGATTAATTTTTACATCTACAGTAAAAGATTTTATGGAGGAGGGCAATTTTATGTTGACTGTCGTTCAATTTCACGCATCTGCAGAGCCTCCAACTTATTCTGAACCACTCTGCAGCTCTCCTGAAACAACGAGGAATCCACTCAGTGAATCTGACATTTCAAAACAAAAACCAATGCCAGTTTCAATAATTATCTAGAAAGTTGTTGTATTGTGTGACAAACTGTTTTCTGTCTCTCTCTCTGTGTAGTTCCAGCAGGCTGTGGAGAGGTTCCTGTACTCCTGCGGTGGCTACTGTGTGGCTACCTACGTCCTGGGTATTGGAGATCGCCACAATGACAACATCATGATCACTGAATCTGGTAATGACGTCTTTTATTTGAATCTTCTTCTCACTGTGTATATATGACTGAGAAATTTTGCAGCCTGTACCATTTGCACAAAAGTCACCATTTTTTTTAGCTCTGATTAAATTATTATAAAAAGCTTACCCCTGAGTATCTGTAAAATATATTATGTATTAATAAATGTCATCATTTTGTTTACCTATGTCTAAAAACTAAAGGAGAAACTGAAACCGAACCTCCTTTTTGGTTTTCTGCAGGGAATCTCTTCCACATCGACTTCGGCCACATCCTGGGGAATTATAAGAGTTTCATGGGAATCAGTAAGGAGTGGGTTCCCTTCGTGCTCACACCAGACTTCCTGTACGTCATGGGAACATCAGGAAAGAAGAGCAGCCCCCACTTCCAGAAATTCCAGGTGCAGAAAATGACATTTTGTCATGTGAATACACTCAACATACATTGCAGGAATCAGCTAGTTAGGTTTTAGGGAGGATGTGTTACATCATCCCAAATCTAAAATATCTGTGCTTGTATTTGTCTGTATGTACAGTATTTATGTGATCTACATAAATTATTTATCTATTTATCTATCCTTTATTTCTGTCTCAGGACGTGTGTGTGAAGGCTTACCTTGCCCTTCGGCACCACACCAACCTGCTCATCATCCTCTTCTCCATGATGCTGATGACCGGTATGACTTGTTACCACTATTTCTTTAAATAGGAAAGGAGTTGTAGTTCAAAATGTTGTTTGAGTTAATGATTTAAAACTAGCTGGCTGTCATTCAGTGCAGCTTTTATGCTTTTATCTTCAGTAGTTTAAAAGGAGACAGACGATCAGATTATGAATGATAGACAGAAACTGATGGAGACTCTATTTGTGGCCATTAACAGGCATGCCCCAGCTGACTAGTAAGGAGGATATCGAGTACATCCGCGAGGCACTAACTGTCGGCCGCAGCGAGGACGAGGCGCAGCGCCACCTGCTGGACCAGATAGAGATCTGCAGGGAGAAAGGCTGGATGGTTCAGATCAACTGGTTTGTTCATCTGGTGCTGGGGATCAAGCAGGGTGTGGAGAAACGGTCCACTTAGGACTCTGTATAAATTATGAAAGATTAAGATTTCAAGTTTTCCACTTCATATTTCAGTTTTTTAGTCAATGTAAATAAGAGTCTTACAAGAGGGTTCCAACAGAAAAGTCTGGGTAGCTATGAAAATGATTGCTTGAAATTATTTACATTATATCTGCAAACACAGATTTTGTATTTTATCTCAAATATAAAGATGTTTTTATGGAGAATAATGAGAGTGGAAGACTGGAACGCTAAAAGCAAAACTGCATACGGTCTGCAGGAGTGACTGAAGAAGAAAAAATGTGTAAGTGAATACAAATCAGGAGGATTTTAACCTATGTGTGCAGACTTGCACCAAGATGCCAAAGTTCCCAAGTGCTAAATGTTATTAACCATAGTCCGAAAATCAGTCCGACAGGAGTGAGTGCTCTCATTACACAGCTTAGACCAAGTCAAACATCCACACCAAAGTCATATGTTTTTTTTCCTAAATCATCACTAGCTTGAGTCAGAATTACCTTTAATTTCTACACATTTCAAGCTTTTGCTCTATCTGACCCAAAACAGTAGATTATGGTTAAATAAGGAACCAAACTCAAAAAAAGGAAATGGATCTTTACACCCTTTATTTTCATCCTTTTTACAAAGTCTAAGTCCTTCCTGTTTCTAGCTGTTTCATTCAAAGTCATTTCCTGCTGAGCAAACACATTTCCTTCACATTGTTTCATTTTAAAACGTGGTACATGTCACACTGGTTATTGAATTCTCACTGAAGTCGTGCAACACTGTCCTCCACTCCAAGAGGAGCTGTTAAAGGATCAGCCTGTGAAATATTTTTTCAGTTTTTACTGAATAATATGCAAGGAATTATTGAATTAGTTGCATCATCTTGGTCAGAGATAGAACATAATGTATTACTAATGAAGTGTTCAAGAGTTTATTATTTATATTATTAACAATCGTATCATTTGCACTGATTGTTAGTGTCTCAGATGTCTTGAAAAACTTTGTGAAATTTTGATTCCAAAAATATGTATTAAAATAAAATTGAATTATGCTAATTTATAACTACATGCTGTATGTGGCTTTGGAACGCTACGGTGGCCTGTCGGTGACATTTAGCACATGCTGGTCAGTGCTGCAGTCGCCTCTTATAGGATAGCGGAACATATACAGGATTTTGTCTGCTGCCTTATGATTTGGAATATTTAAATTGCACCATGTAAAAAGTAAGATTATTCTCTTTACAATAACTGGATTTTAAACTATCTATGTGATCTTTTTATCTCTTCAACGGTTTTTATGCCAGGTCATATTTTCAAACAAAGTAAACACCCATACAAGCCAGTTTGACTGACAGCCACAAGTTCATAATTTGCACATCTCTCTCTCAAGTTTTTGTTGAAATGAATTCGGACAAGTGTACGAGACTGAGGCAAGAGACATCGTAAACCTAAAGTCATAATGGAGTTTCAAGGAATTGGCCACCACAGATTGTGGATTGTTTTGTTACATTTTGAGTTACTTTCCAGTCGGCGATAAAAACTTCAATATGCCTCAGCAGTTTGAAAATCAGTATTTTTTGGATGTGATGGAAAACCTTCATTTCTTCTTTCATAAATAACATTTTGTAATAAAGCCTTTTGTGACTGTAAATTGTAAAAACATTCAATCACTGATTCTGCAAATGGAATAACTGGAACAGCTTTTCTATGGAATCATATCAGACAATTAAAGTTATGCACTAAAAATACTGTTTTTTGTATTTTCTCTTTTATAAATCAGACCTCCTGCTGACTGCACTTCACATTTCCAGTAATTTACACCCCCCTTCTCTCATATCTTCCATCTTCACATGCATTATTCTGACCCTGAGTCAGATCCAATTGGAAACTCATTTAAAATATCTACTGTGACAATGGATGTTGACCACAAGATGGGGCAACACCACAAGTCTCAACCCCGACACAGTGAGCATTCTCATCCTCTCCTCTCCTATCCCCTCCCCCTTCGCCTGCTTCTTCCCAAATTTGCCTCCTTTTTCTCTCACAATTCCCTCTTTCTTCCCATCAGTTTACATTCATCTCTTCATCCTCTTCCTGTCTTTTCCAGCACTACTTCAGCAGAGAAGTATGAGTGGGTGTGAGTGAACAGTATGAACAATAAGTCTCTTTCATGTCACTGTGTGTCGTGGCTGTAAACTGCTGTGTATGTGCTGATGTACAGGATGTTGAGGGTCTGAATGGATTATACAGATAAGCCTCCTCATTCCCCGCAGCTTTAAGGCCTCTGTGTAAACCCTGTTACTCTGCTGAATGTAAGCTTTTTAGCGCACCTATGAACTGTATGGAGGTCTATTGAGGAAGTGTAGAGAGTGACATGTGAATGGGTTGCAGAAGCTTTTGTCTTCTGTTCACTGTTTCTCTTTAGCATACTTTTTGTTTGTGTTTATCTTTCTATGTGTCGTGCCAACTGTCAAAAATCAAGGAATCAGATTTTCGGAATAATGAAGACGAGCAGCTTTATTTTCCATTGATTAAATTACATGGCTGGATTAGAAATGGCTTCCATTGAACCATGGGTTGTGCAAACCGCATGCGATATTTAAATAAAGAAAACGAACACTGAATAAGATGTAGTCTTTTAAGAGATTTTGACTTTAGTTTGGAAGGTCCATTTTTCACAGAAATCCCTGATGATAAATATTCTGTGCTAGTTAATGTCTTTAAATATGATCATTTGAGTTCAGCCATGGGCAGTGTTTTTTTTTGTCAGGATGAATCCTGAATAGATAGTCTGAATTCTAGTATCACTGGTTCTTTAAGATGTGTAAGAAAACTTAAAATATACACAGTACATATATATATACATACATACATTTAACTATATAAGCTCATGTCAAGTAAATTGTTAAATAAATAGATGATCAAGCACCAGGGACAAGAAAATACTGAATTTGTCGAAAAGAAGCCGAATAAGTGTGTATGATTGTCAAAATAATTAAAATAATACATAATACATACAGAACATTTTATAAAAAGTTCCCTAAACACAATAATCTGCTCAAGATGAATCCAAATCACTAATTTTACACATACTTCTTGCAGTTACTGAGTTCAATACGTTAAGTTTGTAGTTAAAGGGGAACTATATGCTTTTCCTTGGTTTCTGTCATATATAATATTACAATGTTGGATGTTGATATCAAACAAGGCCAAAGTGTCAAAGAATGAGGTAAACATACAGTACGTTAAATTCACTGTGCACGAAAAACTAAGTTACAAAGTCTTTTTTGACTTCATGTGAGTCGACACCAGCTCGTCACTGATTTCTTTACATTGTTATCTGCTCCAGTTTGAGCACGGCTGAGCGCTCCCATGAAGTACAGGAACCGTGCAGTCTGTCTGTCCGACTGCTCTGCTCAGGGGTCAGGACCAACCCTTCAGGTTTTTGTATGTAGAAAGTGCTTTTTCAGCTTTGAAGGAAAGTTGTTCTAGTTATTTTCTAGTTGATGTCCTGTATCTTCTCTGCCTCAACTCTGAGGGATTTACAGAGTTTACTGATGGACATATCAGCCTCACTTGGCCTCTTGGCCTGGTCATCACTGTAAATAAGTATTGATTCTCAGTTGACTTATCTGGTTGAATATGGTCTGACAGTGGTATAACAAAGGAAGTGTAGAAGACCGCAAGCTAGCAGTTTAACATTGAAAAACAAACAAAGCGTTTGCAAACATTTTATGAGAGATGTCGACCACCTCCTAAGCCACCTCCACACTGACATTGGTCTCCGTCATTCCACACTGGACTGGTTCACCTCATACCTCGCTGACAGGACAGAGTACGTCAGCCTGGGAACTGCCAGGTCCCAAACAGCCCCCGTCACTTGTGGTGTCCCCCAAGGATCTATCCTAGGACCCCTGCTCTTTATCTTATACATGCTGCCACTGGGTCGTGTCATCAGCCGACACGGTATCTCTTTTCACTGTTATGCTGATGACACTCAGTTATACCTATGAACCAACCCCAACCTATCCTCTACCCCGGTCCCTTCATCATCACCTGCTCCCTCTTCACCATCATCTCTAGCCCTCTCCAACTGCCTGTAGGAGATTAGGGCGTGGATGAGTCACAACTTCCTCCAGCTGAACAGCTCTAAAACTGAAGCCATACAAATTGGCACCCCTCATCAGGTCCAGTCATCACTCATAACCTCCATCTCCTTTTCCGGTCAAGACATCCCCCTCTCAACCAAAGTTACCAACCTCGGTGTGAAACTGGACCCACAACTGACCTTTGCAAACCACATCAAACATCTGTACAAAACCTGCTTTTTCCATATCATGAACATTTCAAAACTCCGCCCCTTCCTCACTTTCTCTAACGCAGAAAAACTCATCCACGCCTTAATCTCCTCCAGGCTTGATTACTGTAACAGCCTGCTCATCGGTATACCCAATAAACACCTTCAGAAACTTCAATTCATTCAGAACTGTGCTGCCCGAACTCTGATGAAAACCCGCAAATACGACCACATCACCCCTATTCTTCAGAACCTCCACTGGCTCCCCATAACCTCAAGAATCCAATACAAGATCGCCCTCATCACCCACTTTTGCATCTACAGCAACGCCCCGCAATACCTCAAAGACCTCCTTACCCCTCACTCCTCCACCCGTAACCTCCGGTCCCAAAGCACAAACCTCCTCCATCAGCCCCGCTCAAGACTCCGCACCATGGGAGACCGAGCCTTCTGCTCCGCTGCCCCTCACATCTGGAACTCCCTCCCTGAACATCTGCGAAAACCCCAGTCTGTGAACACTTTTAAAAAAGGGCTTAAAACTTTCTTGTTCAGGCAGGCATTCCTAAGTTGTCCTTTTTTTTGTTTTTCTTAATGTATTTTATCACTTGAATTATTATTGGTTGCTGATTTTAATGTGTTATTGCCCTTAGTGTTTTTTGTTATTTTGTTTCTTGGTTTCTGTAGCACTTTGAGATTCTTTTATGAAAAGTGCTTTACAAATAAAATGTATTATTATTATTATTATTAAATGCATGTAACATGTTTTTTAGGTCTAAAGTATAGACATCGTGCATTTTGGTAAGAACCAATACCCCAGTTTTATGTTTATTTTATTTTACATGTTTTATGGCATAACATCAGACATTTTGAATGTCGTCCCCAAGATTTAATTTCAGCATAGAAAAACCCATTATGTGATCAGTTCACCAAATTCATTCATATGTGCAAGTTATACCAATGTTAAAAATCACTTTATGATCCAATGATACAAAGATGGCTTTGAAATAATTACGGACTGATTTTGCTTCACATGCTGTAGCTTTTATGGAATAACAACCTCGGCTCTGACAGGTGGCTGAGGTTGGTGTGGGAGGAAACTGGAAGAAACTGGAGTAAACTGGAGCATCGAGAATCGATTCACGCTCTCTCTCTCTCTCTCTCTCTCTCTCTCTCTCTCTCTCTCTCTCTCTCTCTTTCTCTTTTATCTCTGGTGCTTCTCCAGGAAGACATGAACCAGATCAGACGACGGGGGAAATCACTCTTCCTGTGTGTGTGTGTGTGTGTGTGCGTGTGTGTGCGTGTGTGTGTGTGTGTGTGCTCGTATGTGCTCTAATGTGTACCTGTACTTCTGTCTTAGCGAGGAACAGTTTGCCTTTTAGATCTTCAGGGTGAGGGCCTGTAGCCTGTCCTCACCTCTCCCAGGGGTTATTTTAGGGTCAGGACTTGGGTTGAGGTTAATTAGAGTTAATTAGCACATATGGGCCCAGGTGATGTGTACAGCTAAAGGTTAAGAGCTTGGGAAGGCCTGTAGCCAACGACAAGTAGCCTGAAATATGTGTGCTTGTGTGAGATTGGTGTAGGCACGTGTGCACATATCTGTGTATGTATGAATGTAAATGCTTATATGAACATGTATATGATTATGATGTGTGGGTGTGATACAGTCTATTTATGGTATTTACGGCAGCTGCTTTTAAGTGGCTTGAAAAATATAAATACTGTGAATTCCCTTTGAATTCACAAGGTGGCTGTGTGACCTGTGTAGCTGTTGAAGCTGTCTCCATTCATATATTGTACCTGTCATCTTTATTGTTGGTGTAGCATACGGTTTCTATGTTTGTTTATGATGCTGCGTGAAATGAAATCAGTGTATTGCAAAAGATTTCTAGTTGTTTGTCTTCCATAATGCTTTTTCATACTAACAGCACAGCTCTGCACCAGGGGCGCATCTCGGGGTGGCCTGGGATAGCAAGGTGAGCTTAGATCCCAGGTGATGATTAGCTGACATCCCCAAACTGTGTTCCCCCAGATGTACAGAGCAAAGGTGCTTTCAGGTCGTATGTTAAACAAATTTTACACCTTGATTTATTCCCACAAATGTATCTTCTATATTTGGTTAATTTCTGTTTTTAGCTGTATGTACCAAACGTCCAGGTTTTACTTTAGCTGTTAGCAGCATAAACACAGAGTCAGTCTATGGCTGATGTGAGAACTTAACATTTTTAATTTAAATTGAAACAAGTCACAGGGGCATGAATTTTATGCCATTCAGAATGAATTTGCATCTGCTTGCTTCCACCAGTGTCTGCATTGTTTTGAATGTAATCTTGCTGTCTCTAAAATTAGCTTTGCATTCAATCTGAGGATACCTTAAAGCTCCAGTGTGTAACATTAAGGAGGATCTATTGGCAGAAATGCAATATAATATTCATAGGCATATTTTCATTGG